ACTCTTTATCCCCGTGATCTCCATTTCTTCCCGTTCTGCACATAATTGCCCTCCTCATTATTCGTAGCAACCTTTTTTACATTCTTTCTTTACTTTTAGTCTTTATCATATCCTTCCAAAACACAGGGGCGGATCGAGCTTTTTGCTAAGGGTGTGTGGGGGTAACCTACATACGATGTGGAGCATCGTCAACGAGCCGCGTAGCGGCGAGGCGATTTTTTTGCTGTTGTTGCTATTTTGAACCCCCGATAGTGATGTTTTCCTGGCATCTACTGACATCTGCTACTACTGTGTAGGTCTGGATATATGATAGTATTTTTCTATGCACATCACATTTTCACTTGGCAGCCCAAGGGGATGGGGGGGGGGGGGGGTTAAACCCCTAAACCGCCTAGACCCGCCCCAGCAACATCTTTGCTGATCTTCTTCTCAATATTGATTTACTGGTCGAGTTACATTATTTGATGGTCTTTTAGAATAACCAGATTTCAGAGGATTCACACTTTTCACAACGAAAAACTTCTCCATGTTTCAGTCATTGCGCAATCGTCTCCAGCTCCAGCGGATATCGGGCGTCAGCTACACTGCGAGCTTCCGTTGTTTGTATCGGTAATACTCATAGAGATGGGAGAGAAAGCGCCATCTAAGTTCCATTTCATTGGTTTAAGGTTTGAAAATTGATACTCAATATTGTGTTAAAGTTATATCAGAAAAGATAATCTTTATAATTCCACGGGGGCGATTTTTAATTTTGTAACCGCCCCCCTGAGCAACCTGACGGGGGCGAATATGGAGCTTACGGGGGCGAATCGCCCATCGCCCCCGTGTATTTTGAGTACATCTTTCTGTGTACAGTGCTTGTAACTTACCAAGACTGGGCCAAAATTCTTATCATTTAAAGATTCCAGAACCTTGCAGTACACACCAATACTTAAATGCTAGATGATCAACCTTTTCTGATCGATTCCACGTTTCTTTCACAATGCAATTGCAAGACCAGAACTTAACCTTCTCTTTAGGTTATTATAAACAAACTACAAATATGTTCCCTTATGCAAAGATTTAAAACCCACACTCTGTCTTTATATTTAATGAATATGTTTCCTTAAAATTCTCAGATTCATAGTGTCCTACAAGAAATGCAAATAAATTTCATTGGTGGACATTATATTAATGATTATTCAAGATACTCTCGGGTCCAGTTCTTTGGAATAATGTAAAATGTAACCAATTCAATATTTCATTTAATGATACATTCAGGAGGCAATATAAGAAACATTTAATTTGTTCATATTAATAACTTTTAATTTGTTAAATATCTTTTCGAAAATTATCCTGTGGAACCATACCATTCTGTTTGATGCTCTTATATGTTTGATTTTTTCTTCTTCTTCATGTTTATGTTCTCATGTTCTATATTTCACGTATTGTTTGTCCGACGTTTTAAATTTTATAATAATAATGTAAAAACAAACAAATACATAAACTAGGTGAACACACCCTCAACAATCCACAAATCTGGCTTTCATTGTGTTCACTATTTTCCCAATTATCCAGTTATGTTTTTTTTTTTAAATGTAGTCTGTTAATACTGAATAGTGTATTATACTTGTTTTGTTTTTATCTTCTTAATCGTTTGATTGACCATGTCATAGTTTTATAATGTTTAATAGCCCTTTGGCTGTTTTTTCACATTGTTTTAATTGATGTTGGAATTCGGAAATAAATGATTTGAATTGAATTGAACTGAATTTATCTATTTATTTATTTACTCATTAATTGATGTGTTTATTTGTTTATCTATTTATTTAATTATTTATTATCATTATTTTTATTTTTAATTTGTTATTTGTATAATTATTTCTTTATTCATTTCATTTATTTATTTATCTATTTATTTATGAATTCATTAATGTTTTCATTTATACATTTATTTACACATCTATATCGATCATCACACATCAACAAATTTCATTTCGATTTCCTTTTCGCTGTCTTAACATATTTTTTATCAGTATGCCTAGTAACACAAAGGAAAAAAAAGAAGACAAAATTATAATAACTGATATTACTATTATTAATATTATTATTACTATCATTAATAATATTATTATAATGATTATTAATAGAGAAAGATAGGTGGGCGGCTGATGAATGGAGATGGGGAGAGAGAAAGAGAGGGGAAAGGGGCAGGGATGTACTGAGAGAGGGAAAGAGATCGAGAAGGTGAGGGCCATTAATACAGGGTGGAGAGAAATTAGAAAATGATAGTTATAGCGAGAGATAGAGAGGGAGGGAGAGAGAGAGAAATAGAGAGAGAGAGAGAGAGAGAGAGAGAGAGAGAGAGAGAAAGAGGGGGGGGGGGGGGTGGGGGATACCAGTTACTTTTGTCCACAAAGAAGCAGCCATTTTGGGAATAACGGTATAATAATGTACAGCACTGGCGTACCTATGGGGGGGCAGGGGGGGCAGAGTGCCCCCCCTGACGGGCTCCAGGGGAAAAAAAGAAAAAGGGGAAAGAAAAGAAAAAAAGGAAAGGAAAGAAAAAGAAAAAAAAGAAAAGGGAAGAAAAAAAGGAAAGAAAGAGAAAAAAGGAAAAAAAGGAAAAGGAAAGAAAAAAGGAAGAAGAAGAGAAAAGGAAGAAAAAGGGAAAAGAAAAGGAAAGGAAAAAAATGGGGAAATTAAAAAAAAGACCATGGCCGTACGCACCAGGGGGGGGGGGGGCAGTTGACCCCAGGTATTTTGAAAACGTACAGTTTTTTTCCTAAAAATGTAGTGTAGGCCTATACCAAATCCTTCAATTCTACTTTTGAAAATGCAAAAGTACCCTCATGACCAGTTCGGTCGCTCGAACTCCCTTCACTCCTTTTGCTTTTGAGATTCTTCGAAAACTTTTAACACATCTTTCCCCCTCCCCCACCAGAAAAATATTCCGCATACGGCCCTGAAAAATTTAGACAAATGAAAATAGGAAAATATAAGTGATATAACAAATTCGAAACTCTTCGCTGGCGCGCCTGCTTGCTAGCCTATTTTGTATTAAATGTTTTCACTTGCTCGTCCCCCTGAAAAAAGAAAAGGATTAGCATTGCCTAGAATACAATTGCCTAGAATACAAGTGCCTGCCCCGACGGGCCCCGACCTGCAACCATGGCAACAATAACACACAGTGTATGTACCAAATGTTACTAAAAGAGAGTAATTCATTTTTCTCGCTCGCTACACTTGCTCGCGAATAAAATGAATAGATATTGCTTTGGAAACAATTGTGCCCACCCTTGACCTGCAACAATATCATTAAAAATGGAAGAGTTTTTACGCCCTCTCGCCAAAAAGGAATTGAATCGCGTTAAACACGATTGCGTCCATTCTGACCTGCACCAATAAAAACTAGTTTATTTATTAATTTATATTAAAAGAGAATTTTTTTTTGCGTGCTCGCTATGCTCGCTCGCCAAAATGGAATTGACACCGCTAACGTGCCCGCCCCAACCTGCAACAACCAGTTAATAATTATGTACCAAACGTTATTCAAAGAAGTTTTGGTGTGCTCGTGCTCGCCAAAACGGAATTAACATCACCTTAGACATGATTGTGTAAGCCCTGCCCTGCAACAAAAAAAATCTGAAATTTATGAACCAATTATCATTACAAAAATTTTGCTCGCTCGCTACGCTCGCTCGCCAAAATAGAAATAACACCGCTTTTAATAATCACGTCCGTGACATGGAACAATGAACCAAAGTTTATGTACCATATTTTCCCTATAAAAGAGAAGTGATTTTTTTGCTCGCTCGCTACGCTCGCTCGCCAAAATAGAAATAACACCGCTTTTAATAATCACGTCCCTGACATGGAACAATGAACCCAAGTTTATGTACCATATTTTCCCTATAAAAGAGAAGTGACTTTTTTGCTCGCTCGCTACGCTCGCTCGCCAAAATAGAAATAACACCGCTTTTAATAATCACGTCCCTGACATGGAACAATGAACCCAAGTTTATGTACCATATTTTCCCTACAAAAGAGAAGTGATTTTTTTGCTCGCTCGCTACGCTCGCTCGCCAAAATAGAAATAACACCGCTTTTAATAATCACGTCCCTGACATGGAACAATGAACCTAAGTTTTATGTACCATATTTTCCCTATAAACGAGAAGTGATTTTTTTTCGCTCGCTCGCTACGCTCGCTAGCTCGTGGAATCATGTGCCCACCACTAACCTGCTACAATATCATTAAAAAGAGAAATGTAGGGGGTTGCCTGCCCGCCAAAATGGGATTGACATTGCCTTAAACACGATTGTGCCCACCCCCGACCTGCAACAATGAAACAAAATTTATATAGCAATTCATTGAGAGAAAGATGTATTTAGGCTCGCTAGCTAAAATGGGTATGAAATCACCCTAAACACAATTGTTCCCGCACCCTGCATGGGACAATTGAACCAAGTTTAAGTGGCAATTATTAAAAAAGGAGTGATTTTTTTCTTGCTCGCTACGCTCGTTTGCAAAAAAATGAAATTAACGTCGCTAACAAGACTATTCCCACCCCAACTTGCAACAATACCAGTTTATATACCATACGTTACTTAAAGATTTTTTTTGCTCGCTCGCTCGCCAGAAGTGAAAATTAGCATCGCCTTTTTTGTTTGTTTCGGTCGCTTGCCCCCCTGACGGAGTACCCCAGGTACGCCACTGATGTACAGCGATCTATGGCTCTCTGCCATTGAATATCATTGAAAGGCACTTTGTGAATTTTCGTAACGTCACAGCGCGCTCACTTTGATGAAACGAGCGGGGGGACGCGAACATTAACAAAAAAACACTGCAAAACAGCGGTCATTTCCGGTCAGAAGTGTTTACTCACGAATATATAATTGTCTGCCCTAAAACTCAACAATATCCTGCCCGTTATATAATTTCAAGGTTGATATCGTTAGCATCTTTACCTCGTCCCTCACATACCGATGACCAATTCCCCCCTTCTACTTAGTATTATGCCCGCCGCAAGGGACGTCTGGTCCGGTTCGGTACGCGACGTACCATGACGTCACGAATCGGTCTAGACAATCCCGGGGATCAACTTGTCCTGTGCGGGCGACTCAATCGACGATTGTACGAAGTGGTAAGTTTACAAATACCTCAAAATTCAACCATTTTCGTTCTTAAATATGTGAAACTGCGATGACCATGGCTTAGATCGTGACTGTGTGAAGAGTTTGAGTGTGATTTTATCTAGGAAAGATGTGATTCACACGTGAACGACCCTGCGATTGACGACCCAATTCGCCGTCGTTTTTTTTATGTTGATGTCCTTGAGTGGCAAACGTATCCATCGCGCTCTGTGTGTGTAGCGCCGAGAAACGCAAGTTGTGGGTGTACGACTTTTACAAAATCGACTTTCTTCATCTTCTTGTCGTTGCAGCCATATCGTATTTTCTTGCTTGAATAAACAGCTCTTTATGTTTGTGCTATTAACCAGAGCCGATGGCTAAAGATGGTATACAGTCATTGGTTTAGAAGAAGTTGATAACTCTCTCTGCATGATACAAAAAGACCATTTCTTTTAATTTGGACGTGCATAAAAAGTGGTGTTTCATTCCAAAAATGGACAGATTTAGACTTTTCCTACAATTTTTTCTTCATTCTAAATGAGACAGAATTAAATTTTCAATACATCTTTTATATCTAATGTGGTTTTTTAAAAAAAAGGAAAGAACTCCATATAGATCTACCCCTGCTAAATATTATTACACTTTCTATCTATCTCTCATTGTCTAACCCTATAAACCCTATCCATCTTTATATATTATATTATTAGTCTCTGAAGCATATCTATATATCTTTTTCTCCAATTTTAGTGTGGGGGCGGGGGGGGGGGGGGGGGGGGGAACATATGGAACTCTAGCCAAAAAAAAAAAAAAAACAATTTAGCTTTGACTCTGAAACAAACTTTTGAGATGTTCAATGATTTTTGATGAAGATTAAGAAGAAGAAATTGAAGAAGGAAAAAAAAAAAAGATGAGAAAGAAAAGAAAAGAAAAAAAAAGAAAAGAAGGATGAGAAATAGAAGAATAGAAAAAAAAAAAGAAGTGAAGAAAAGGAGAAGAAAAAAAAAGGAAGAAGGAGGAGGATCGAGGGCATTATTTTAAATATTAGACCAAGTAAGCTTATGACTCGTAGTTTCTGATTTACATTTAAGAAGGAAACAAAATGTTGAGGGGGTCCTATATTCCTGAAGTTAGGCTAGACTATGCTATCTCAAAGTTCTTGATAAAATTGCATAAATGTAGATGCTCAAAACAAGTTGGTAATTTTTTTGGGTGTGTACACAAACTTAAATGTTTTATCAAGTTGCCCAATTGTCTAGGTCCGGGCCTGAGAAACTTCTTTATTTTATGTCAAAACAACAAAATGATAAAAAAGGAGGTTGATTCAGACAGAAAAGGGAAGGGAGGGGGGGGGGGGGGGGGAGTAAAAAGGAGGAGGAACTACAAGAAGAGTGATTTGAAATAATACCCTGCCTAGCCCAAAAAGGCTTGCAGAAGAAAAGATGTATACATGCCTTTGAAATTGAAAGTGGGGGGTGGGGCAGAGTTTATTATGCTGTACCAATGCCATTATTGATAATGAAGCCTGCGTTGTGTGTCAACGTGCCCCTTCCCTTGTTCATAGACGCAGGTTATGTCAAGTGGAAAACACTCCGTCCCTCGGATAGGACGTTAAATGGAGGCCCCGTGTAGAGAAAAGTCACTACCTTCGCACGTTATAAGAACCCACTGCACTATTCGTAAAAGGGTAGGGGGCAACCCCGGTGTAGTGGTCCACCTGCACACACCCCCAGTATAGTTCGATAATACTCTGTAAAGATCCTCAAAAGGAAGAAGAAGAATAGTAGAAGTCTACTATAAAAAGGTATGTATGTATGTGTGTGTGTAGAGGTGGGGGGGGGGGGAGGGGTGAGCCCCCCCCCCCAGGTTCCTTGTTTCACAGCTAGCCATTCCCATTTTTTTGGGGGGGGGGGGGCTGAGGGTGTTTTGAATGCTTCCAAATGTTTTCTATATACCCCCTTATAATTATCTGACAACAATATGTTACAAGTATGCTGAACTTTTTTAAGCGTAATAATAGTACATGTAAAGACACTGAGCATTATTAAGTTGAATGTGGATGAACAGTGGCCATCTAACTGATTTAAGTAACATGTGTTTTATTGGGGGGCATCATCCAAAAATTCTTGCTTTTCGATGGCGTGTAACCATTGTAGTTTGCAGCACTTTAGATGTTCCGGACACAGCCTGTAACTATAGGCCCAGTAGAAGTGGTGGTTATTTTACCTGACTGCTAAGAAAGCATAAATGCTTGTTAGAAAGCAACCAGAAGACCGAAGGCTTAAGGTCCCCACTGAGGGACCTGGTAATGAGGATTAATGCCTTACCAAAGGGCACTAGCGCATCGATTTGGTTTCAAGCCCGGGTCGCCGGATTACGAGACCACTGCTCTACCAACTGAGCTATCACGCCTCTGATAGATCTAGAATCTGCTCAAGGCTTGAGAAATTTTGTTTTAGTGTGAAATTAGAGTCTTAATTAGCTTGCAATGCAGACAAAGAAAAGATTATAGGGGTAAGACAGAAAAATCCAAGGTGCAACATTCTCTAGTTGTAGATTTCATCATGATTATTACAATTATTATCATTAGTGACATTAGTATTATTTTGAGAATTACTATTTAATAATACTCATGCTCTGTCCATACTCTGTGCATGGCTTCAGGGTATGATATACAGGACAAGTTTTTAAAAATACAATTTGATTAGAATTTCATAGTTTTAAACTTAAAAGAGAATTGATTCAAGGCATACCATATTTGCAACCAAACGGTAAATAAAATATTGCTGTTAATTGGCAGGCACAACAAAAAGGGTGTTATCTCTGCTAAAGTATATGAGTTATTGTTCTTCTGCCTTCTGACTCTAAATTAACAGACAATATTTGCAGAGCAATGTAGTTTGTCTGTACGCTTTGGGATTTTTAATTTCTTATTTCATATTTTGAAAATCTGAAATGGTTGAGAAGAGAATGTGTAAGAGTCGAGTTGTAATGTACCAGGATATTCTTGTTTGTAATTGTACTGTTATGTGACCATGGACCGTATACCAGTACTTTGGACAAAATCCAGCCTATACTAGCTGTGCCTGTGAGGGTGGGACGCTTTCCCACGCCAGCACAAAACGCCTGAGTGAGTGTTCAAGAGGAAGGAAAGAGGGAAGCAGACGGGTTATTGGTCAAGCGGACTGCCCATTGGTCAAGTGGTCAATAGTCAGGATGACCCGTTTATAGCAGCTGTATAGTCCTTCAAGGCCATAGTGAAATGTGGCGGTTCTTTATAGCGAGAGCTATTGTTCCCCAGACAAATAGTCCTAAACCCCCCTATTGAAGCTACCTAGTATTAAGTAGAGAGTGCTATTCAGGGACCCTGACTTGAAAGGAGGCTTGGTATGATGTGGTCTACTTCTCAGACTCTCTAACAATGCTATTGTAGTAGTCTTTGGAGCATTCAGTCCCTAAAATTTAATTATGAAAATGTCCAAAGGTAGTACAGTGATACTTTGAACATGTATTTTTATAAAGTTTTGTATGTATTTTTATTTTGCTAACATTTTCATGTATACATTATTAGTAATAAAGAAGATTACTTTTTCTTTCTTTCAGGGAGTTCTTTAGTATGTAAAAGGTGTTAAAGCTTATCTGCCGTGGTTTACAGGAGAGATTAGACTGCCCTGCAAGGTCACTGGACAGGTGGTTATCTCATCAACTCAGCTCTCAGTTAACATAAGAAAAAGAGGATCATGGGGGACCAATGGTCACCGATTAGGCATTGTTTGTTATATAGAGGGCGCAAGTAGCTAAAAGTAGTGCAGTGGGCCTTTAAAAATGAGACATTAGGATTTTCTGGATACATGAAAGGAAATTAATTATGAAGATGTTTGTACAAAACCATGCACATCAATATGTACTGTAGCTGAGGCAAGGACTTTGAGAATTTTAATTTTTTTGTTGTTGGTATTAATGAAGATTAATGCCTTACCAAAGGACACAAGTGCATTTATTTATTTATTTATTTATTTATTACCGGTAGTCTTATTTTAGTAGGGCGGCTCCATCAGTAGTGAATGCTGAATTGCTTTTGAACCTGGGATCTACTGGTTGAAAGACCATTGCTCTACCACTGAGCCATATTGCGCCGCCTCAAATGATACGTACATGTATGATAAGTTATGTTACATTACGATGTGCTTTAGAGCCTGTCTGCACTAGTTTGGCCAGGGGAGATGAGACCTCCCCGCAAGGTCACTAACAGATGGTTATCTCATCAAATCAGCTCTCAATTAACATAAGAAAAAGGGGATCATGGGGGACCAACATGCACTGAGTAGGCATTGTTTGCTATAGAGAGGGCGCCAGTAGCTATAAGAAGTACAGTGGGGCTTTAAAAGAACAGAATGCTATCAATATTAATATTATTTTTGTGTGATAGACGATGATGTCATGATCTCCAATTTTTATCTTGTCTTTTTTTCTTTCTTCCAGTGGGTATCTGAACATTGCCCATCACCATGGGTAACTCACAGGGCCAGCTGAAGTCTTCTCGCTTCGAAGCCGCTCTTCATATGTCCATCGAGCAATCGCTTAGATCCAGTGCAGCAACTCCGCAACCCGTTTTCTCCCAGCTTTATCTAGATAAAGGTAAAATTTGATTTGGAAATTTGCGTTGCATGAGCTAGCTCTTTTTTTATTAAAAAAAAAAAATGATTGTAAGAAGATACAAACAGCCCCTTCCCCCAAAAGAAAACAAGAAAACATATATAGTAATACCCCCCATGAAAGAGAGAGAGAGAGAGAGAGAGAGAGAGAGATAGAGATAGATAGAGAGCGCGAGAGAGAGAAAGAGAGAGAGAGAGAGAAAGAGAGAGAGAGAGAGAGAGATAGAGAGAGCGTGAGAGAGAGAAAAAGAGAAAGAGAGTAATAATATACCGGTAATATAAGAAAAAAAAATAAGAAAAGAAAACACCCCATTCATGTACAGAAATAGAATTTTTTTTTTCCAAGAAAGAAACAACAGAATATGTAGAAATACCACCCCCCTCCCCGAGAGGGAGGGAGAGAGAGAGAGAGAGAGAGAGAGGAAGAAAACAGGAAGAAAAAAAAATATACATGTATTTTGATAAAAAGTAGTGTTAAAAGAGAGCAATAATATAATAATCATGATAAATAAAGAAAACAACCCCAAAATAGATGGAGGGTTAATGTCCAAGAAATATTTTTAAAAATTTTGAATATTTACCTCTTTTCTCCCCAAAGAAATTTGTCATTTTGAAATGACATAACAGTCTTGTGTTTCACCTTTATTTCAGAGGTTACATACATGTACCTACATGTACACCTGGAACAAATTTTGTTGACACAATAATCAAACTCTAATATGAAGAGGCCCTTGACCTCCATGTGGTATTTCATATCAGGAACTAAAGTTTATCTGGGCACTTGAAATTGACAATTTTGTTTGTACAGCTGTAAATATCCCAGTGAAGAGTGAGGAGTGAGAAAGAAATACAGGGTACAAAGACATTTGCCATCAAGTTAATGGACAATTATCGTTGAAAAAAAGAAAGATTTTCCATTAAAACAAAAATCCTTCAACAATAAAACATATTCATAACATGGAAAGATATTTATGGGAACAATGCAAAATATTGTTATGACAAACCATTGCAAAATATATTACGACTGTGCAATTTATTTTGTGTTAGGAAAATAACCCAGGTCATAGTATACAAGTTAAGCAAAGTTCAACCAAATATTTAATCATGATTTATTTATTGTTTTATTTATTTAGTTATGTATTTATTTACTTATTCATTCATTTATTCAATATCCAGGAACTCGACATCAAACAATAAAAAAATAGACAATGCAAGCATACGCAAATATTATTATAATTGTGATAATTTAAATAACAAAAGAAAAAAAGAAAGAAAAGAACAGGAACAACCAATGCGTGGGGATTAACCAAGATACATTTCAATTTCAAAAGGCTTTTAGTAGTTGTTGTTAAAACAAATGTTTTTAAAAATGTAGGGGAAATGCCCTTAATAGTGACCCCCTGTAGATCGAGCTAGATTTCCTGCCCCCACGAAAAGTCTTTCTTATTTGAACCAGTGCAAAAGTATACTGCACATAAAGATCACCTGCTTATAAAGACAACATGTCTTAGCTAACTTGGGTGATCGTTGTATGCAGGTTATACTGTAATTTAAAGGTAATACATATATGAACATATTGAAAGCATTATAATGCAATTTTACAATATTCAATGATCGTTGTCGCGGTTGAAATCGAGTCTAAAGTGATGAAATTGTAAATAATAAACTCTTTATGTTGTATAGCTCCCTCTCAAGATTTATATTACTTTAGCTTTAAAACAATGTTTCTTGACTACAATCGACCAATTTGCTATTCATGTTTGGAAATTATCTATCAGAACTGCATGTTCTGACCTACCATGGAATGGCCTTGGGCGCTATTTGAAATATTTGAAATTTATTGGGAGCACCTGTAAATTTCTCGAAAGCAGATGTTTTTTAGGAGCTAAATTTTCTAGTGCTTATATAAATAGCTTAGAAGCCAGGCAATATTTATTTCTTTTACCTGTTTGCCTACATGTACACTGTCAATAATCATATGTACAGTACATGTTCATGGCTATGTTGCCTCTAACAGTAAGTAATGAGAAATATTCAACAGGTATTTATATATTTTTTTGTGTTTTCCCAAGATATCAAGCCTAATGTGCGAGACATTGAGCCCCACGGGAGCTCCTCGGAGCCCAAGCGGAGGAAGGAATCCGTCTCATCCGTGTCCACCGAGAACAACAACAAGGAAACGATGCCTTCTACTTCTTCTTCCACCGCCCCCTCTCCAAAGACCCCCCTGGAACCTAGAACCAGTGGGAGCAGTTCTTCCTACGCCACGCCCCACCCAAAGACCCCCTTACCCAGCCCCCTAGGGCTGCACCCATCGGTGGTCCATCCTTCCCAGCCCGGTATCCCAACAGTCATGCTCCCATCACCAAGGCTACCTTTATCCCCCTATCTTCCAGCCCAAAGGTATTAAAGAGTTTTGATCTTAAATCCCCACCGCACTACTTATAGCTACTAGCGCCCTCTACTTGTATATAGCAAAAATAAAATCCCCTTTTTCTTATATGTGAATTGAGAGCTGATTTGATGAGATAACCACCTGTCAGTGACCTTGCCGGGAGGTCTAATTCCCCAGGGCAAACTAGTGCAGACGGGCTTTAAGCAAGGCATTTTATCTGCATTGCTACTCTCCACCAAGGTGTGACATGGCTACCCAGTAGAATTCAAGAGAACATTATTTTGATATGACATTGCTATTATGTAAAACATGTTATATAGATCTAAGTATTGTTCTTTTCACTTCTTTTGCTTTCTCTGTCATGATCATATTTGGCAATGGTTAAATACAGCAATGAGTAAAAAGAGAACTGTCATGAGTATACACATACATGTACATGTACATGTACCGGTATAAAGGATTACAGGTTAAAACTTATTGCTCTTCCAACATGTGGAAATGATATCTGTACTAATACGTATGATTGTAACCAACAACTCTTTTTTTCTCTCTCTGTGACTTCTGTTTGTCCAGATTCATCATACCAGGCCAGTATCCCGCCCACCCTCCACCCCCTCTCATCCAGCAGCCCCCATCCTCCTCCTCCTCCAGACCCGCCCAAGAGGCCCGCATCTCACAGTCTAGCATCCCACCCACCGTTTCCACGGCGCCCAGTTCCGCGTCCTCCTCTCGGACGACATCACCGCGGCTCATGAAGGATGAGAGCGTGTACAGGCGGGAGGAGATTGAGAACTCCAGCTTTTTGTATGGGGCGCTTACTCTTAGAGGCTGTCAAGAAGTTGGTATGTGGCTTCAAATAGGCTTCATGCTTTTTGTCCACTATTTAAACAGACTGAAACTTACTGGGGTCCTGTCTTGAAATATTTCGCTCTTAAAGAAAAAGTTGAGTTCTGGTCATGCAATTGCATTGTGAAAGAAATGGTGTGGAATCGATCAGAAAAAGTTGATCATGTAGCATATGAGTATTGGTGTGTAGTGCAAGGTTCTGGAATCATCAAAATGATAAGAAATTTTGCCCAGTCTTGGTAAAGTTACAAGCACTGTACACAAAAAAAAGTATATGGGACTACACAAACAAGTGGCATAAAAATCTGTCCAGATTTTTATGCAGTTACATATCATATTAAAGAGCCATGCTTTTCAGGGAACATTTTTTATCTGATGTTCTTCCACACTTGCATAATAACAATGATGAGGCTCACAAATTATTTTTCACCTCATCCCAGAACTCAACCTTCTCTTTAAGGATATCCCACCTTTTTATACCATGATTTTATTTCTATTCTTTTTTTACCCTAGCATGTATGCACAGATCTACATTCACATTGTTTTTTATTTGCAATCAGGGTTCTTACCAGTGTTTAACACATTTGGTGCAGATAGCTAGTTGGAGGGGGAGCTGAGAAATCCAGAACCAAGGATAAATTCTCCCTGACAAGGGTTCTGACAAGATTGATTAATTTGTCAGTGCCTATACTCTCAAAACTCACCTTTTCTCCCAATGATCTATGTGATATACTTCCTGTACTGTACTTTCTTGTCCTCTTTACATATATTTGTAAGCGCTATGGTACTTATTGTTTTTAGCGCTCCTAAATATTCAATATTATATTATTATTATATTATACTTCCAACCAAATTGTGAAATGTCTTTGGTCCTCCCCAAACACCCTTTTGGATATGCTGCAAAGGCTTATTTCACTCGGCTTGGACCAAGGATAAAATGAAGGTCCAGCAGAGCAGCTTGGTTTCACACTCAAATACATTTTCGATGCCAGTTCAAATTGAGAACTAAAAATTTATTTTCTCTAACAGGTTTTTGTCAGGCAGGATCTGACATCCGTCTGACAGAGCTCAGCGACAAACAGATAGAGGTACCCAAGGGTTTTGTTCTAGTAGGCACCAAGTCGCCTTACCTCCCAGAGAACATCCTGGTTGCAGCGGTGGATGCGAGGTTCCTCCCAGACCCCAACACCAATCTTGCTCTCCTAGGTGAGTGAACAAATGGTGATGATGATGGTGGTTGTGGTGGTAGTGGTAGTGGTGGTGGTGGTGGTGGTGGTGGTGGTGGTGGTGGATGTGGTGGTGGTGGTAGTGGTGGTGGCAGTGTCGGTGGTGGTGGTGGTGGTGGTGGTGGTGGTGGTGATGGTGGTGGTGGTGGTGGTGGTGGTGATGGTAATGATGGTGGTGATGGTGGTGGCGGTGGTGGTGGTGGTGGTGGTGGTGGTGGTGGTGATGATGATGATGATGATGATGATGATGATGGTGGTGATGGTAGTGATAATGATGATGGTGATAATGATGGTGGTGGTGGTGGTGGTGATGATAATGATGATGGTGGTGATGGTAGTGATAATGATGATGATGATAATGATGGTGGTGGTGGTGGTGGTGGTGGTGGTGGTGGTGGTCATGGTGGTGGTGGTGGTGGTGGTGTTGGTGGTGATGGTGATGGTGATGGTGATGGTGATGGTGATGATGATGATGACGATGATGACCATGACGATGATGACCATGATGATGATGATGATGTTGATAATATGATGATGATGACTATTATGATTCACAGCATGAATATAGTGTCCCATTTCTGTTAAAAAACATTCAAAGCAAACGATAATGATGATGGTGGTGGTGTTGGTGGTGATGATTATGTCTGTGATGATGATGCTGATAATAATGCTTGTGGTGATGATCCTGCTTATGGTGATGATACTGATAATGTACTGTAATTTATGATTATGGTGATGACAGTGATGATGATGGTGAAACGGATGGTGATAATGGTTTCACTTATTTTGTTTATTTGCGTTTTTTAATAACCCCTTTACATTCTTTGAACCCCAGGTTTCAGTGGTAACTGTGTGGGATGCGGAGAGAAGGGATTTCGATACTTCACAGAGTTCTCGCATCACATCAATCTCAAGCTCACAACCCAAGCCAAGAAGCAGAAGCATCTCAAGTATTACATCGTGCGCAACAAACAGGGCCACCTGGTCAGGGGGCCTAATATACCCTGGAAAGGTAAAGATAATGAATAATAAGAGGATTTTTATGTACACCCTTTAACCTTTAGAAGTGTCGTAGTCGAATAGTTTAAGCACTTGACTTGTAATTCAAAGGTCGTGGTTTGATCCCCGATACGACACTAATGTCCTTTGGCAAGGCATTAATCTTCATTTGCCACCTGGCAGGAGTTAATTCTTTGAAAAAATAGAGCGCTGTAATGGCAGCTAGGCTAAAGCAGGTAAAAATTAATGCGCCTCTGAATAGAATTTCTAGAAAGATGGCGCTATAGAAATGCCTATTATTATTATTATTGTTTGAACAATAATATGCATGTAACAATTCTCTATAGAAATTAATAGAGTTCATGCTTTACTATCAAAAACATTATCCTAATATTTCTGGGACTGTGAGAAATCGTGATGTCCATGTCTTAATGGTTTAGACTGTGCTTGTTTGATTTAATAAACCTAATTAATTAATGAAACACTCATTAGTAGGAAATTAATTGAGGCTATGTTATTTATGTCCTGATATATAGCTGCCAACTCCTTCTGAAGGGACGACACTTGATGATGACGATGTATACATGTGTAACTTGTTAAAAACATTTCAAACATTAAATTTCAATCTTTCTTTTTAAACGCCTCCCAGAATGCAGAAAGACCAACTATTCATCCACATCTGTCTACCATGGGGCTCTTTCACCGAGTATGGCAGGGCAAACATCAGGTACACTTAAAGAGAAGGTTGAGTTCTGGGAAGAGGTGAAAAATAATTTGTGAGCATTATCATTCTTATTATGCAAGTGTGGAAGAACATCATATAAGATATGTTCCCTGAAAAGCATGGCTCTTTAAATGCCTTCATATTCGAAATATGTCATGTAACATCGTAAAACTCGGGGGTAGGACTTTTACGCCACATGTTCGTGTAGTCCCATATACATCTTTCTGTGTACAGTGTTTGAAACTTACCAAGACTTGGCCAAATTTCTTATCATTTTGAGGATTCCAGAACCTTGCAATGCTCACAAATTCTTATATGCTAGATGATCAACCTTTTCTGGTCGATTCCACACCGATGCTTTCACAATGCAATCGCATGACCAGAACTCAACTCCATCTTTAATTTCCTCACTTCATCCGAGTGATAATCATATTCAGGTCTATTAAAGTCCTGTGAATTAGACACAACTCACTATGTCACTTCAAAGAAAAAAAGATAATGCTACATTTATCTAAACTTACTGTGCTGTGTAAATAAAGGTCAAGAAGAAAGACACTTCAATGCAACATCTAATTCGTGAATGGTTCATTTTAATTATTGAATTGGCATGGGTGCGCTTGTAAAATGGTGCCTGGCCAGAATAATCCCCAGGGAGCGGAGCTTGCGCACTATCATGGGTGGATTGGCAATTGAATCCAATGACCGATTACAATATAAAGTGCTTAGAAACGTAATATTAAGGGCTATGCTAATGTGACTATTATTGTTTCTTCATCATTGTATTGTGAAACTAATAAAATAGTGGGGAAAATGATCAGAATTTATGTTCGCACTCATCTGGTAGGACCTAACAATACATGAGCAACTAAAACCTTTGTCAAAATTCCTGTTCCTGAGATCGTAATCAAGAAGCCTAAATATGATGTGACATATTTTCCCCCTTTTCTTTTTACCTTTGGTGGGCTAAATGAACAGGTTCAATTGTACACAGACCTGTGTTTCACTAAGATTTTAAGTTTATAATCTCTAAGTTGGACTTAACATTTATGGAAAGCCATTAGCATCTTTGAAAATATTTAATAAAAATTATTTTTAAAAAGCGTAAAATGTTGATTCCAATCATTCATATTTTCTATTATCATGGGAGATTTCATGTTCTTGATGGTGAATTTATGAAAAGTCTAAATATTTGAAATTTTGCTTTTGAATATATTTAATTTAAAGGCTACAAATGGCTCTCCACTTAAAATCTTTGTGAAACACCGCCCTGTACTCACATTTGCTTTTTTCTGCAACAGTGATCGTAAGCCGACCAAACACTCTCACCCCCGGTAGCCAAGACTCTCCCCAACCCCGAACATCCCCATCAGCCAACATCAATCACTATGGCAACAGCGGCGTCGCTGGCCACACCAGCTCACCAGGCCAGGCTGGAGGAGAAGGGCTGGATCCTCACGGCGGGGCTGGAAGGATGCAGGCCTCGTCCCCGTCGTCCGGCGACGCCCATCCCCGGCCGGGGGAGTCGGAGTCGCCGAGCACGGCTCAGCAACCTCTGAAGAAGAGGAGGCGGTTTCACAGCATGGACGATGACAAGCTGCGTCCTGGGCAAGGTAATGGACTGTTTGCTGAAGAGCTTTCAAATTAAGCCAGTTCATACCGGTAGTTGTGGTCTGAGCATGAGCAGATAAAGGTCATTGCAGACCAAATTGTGAAATACACAGGGACAAAATACTGGATACGTGCTCATGAAAGTTATGTAATCATTATTCATTTACGCACAAGCAGTATTCTTTGAAAAGGGGAAACAAAGGCTATTTATGTAGCACCTCCATCACTGTAGGAGTGATTATTTCAAATTGTACAAAGTGGGACCTCGACATGTTTTAAAGATCTGTGGATATTCGGGGTCATTTGGGACATGTGCTAACCGGGAACTGGTCTATTTAGAGGAAATAGCTTCTGGTTTGATATGCAAACAATTAAAAGCCTTAAAAGGGGAAGTTTACCCCGATATTAAGTCGTTTTTAAGAATTATTAAACAAAAATCAGGTCAGTGATAGTTTGAGGAAATTCTGTTGAAAAATAAGAATCAATCACAAATTGGCAACTGTGTTGCGTATCTTGCGAGCTCCCATCCCAACTTTCATTTTTTTCGTTATTGATGATGGAATAGTTTCTTCTCCATACATAGGTTGCAAACAAAATTATTTGCGATGATTATATTTAATTGTATATATGATTTGAAATAAAAACTTGCTTAAAGTCATAGTGAGTTCAGACATGTCCATCTATATTCTTTCAATTTTTCATTTTCCATTTTTGGTTTCTGCAGAACAATCGCGCCCCACCCACCACCTCAAGCGGGCCTCCATTCCCACCCTGCCCCCACCCGCCCTCATGCACCCACCCAACTTCGTGCCCCCTCCCGTCCAGGCCGCGGTGCAGGACTGCACCTTCGTGCCGCCGGGCCTGGCCGAGGCCTGCGGCACCAAGATCATCATCCTGGACTGCAGCGGCAACCTGCCGGTGTTCCACGGCAACATGATGGATATCCTGGTCAGCGTGCAGTTCAGGGACAGCCTCAAGCCGAGGCAGCACATCTCCCCGCACCTGGCTGAGAGTCTGGGGCTGGTCGGGGTCCAGAGTATGAACTTTGAGACCATGGCTCTGGTGATGATCCAGTACATTGTCCAGCTTGGTGAGTCTAGTCGCCCCTATCACTTTCTTGCCAAAAGAACATATTCTCTAGAAATTCTTTCCCATCAAACATGCTACAGTGTGTGTAAATGATACAGGTAACATCTTGCAATTCAAGTATTCAAGTATTTTGTAAAGCCTTTTTAAAGGTATCGGGTAACTATGTCTCGGATTCTGAAACAAAATCCTGGATTCAGCTCATGCTCATGACTTTTACAAGCCCGATCGCTTGTCTGATTATCAAGATATTTATGGTTGGAAATAGAAATCAAATTTCAGTTTTCCTAATGGTTTTTATAACACTTCAGTCTATTGGGGAAAATAAGTATGGTAAAACCGGTCACTCAAAGATTTTTACTTTTTTGAGTCACTTCATGATCATTTTAAAGTGCAATTTTGTTGAGGGCTTCAATATTACACCATATCACATACACTGATAACATGTAAGGCCAGGCATCTCAGATTTAACATTGTTAAATGATGTCTGTAAAAAGACCGAATATTTTGATTATTCTTTGTTGTTCTACGTACCAGGGGACGAGGCACCCACGAAGGGAGAGCTCGACGCTGCGATGCTACGAGCGAGACAGGATACCTCTATCAAGGACCACCCGGGCCAACATAACATTCCGCAGTTTACGACCGTTGCTCCTGCACAGCTCCCTCTGCTGGCCAAACTGGCCGTGGCCTCCTCCAATGGGCGTGTCAAAATCCTGATTGCGCAGGTGAGGATAAACTAATGTTTTTCGTAACTCAAGAATAAAAGGTGGAATGGTTGAAATAGGGCTTTTGTTGAATACTGATAGATGTGAGCTTTAAAGGGAAAGTCCACCCTGAAATTAAGTTAGTTTTAATAGGAGTAGAAAAATGAGAGAAACAAGTCAGTGAAAGTTTGAGCAAATTCCGATTAAAAATAAGGAAGTTAGGATTTTTGAAGTTGTGATCAATCAAACGTATCATGCGAGCTCAACTTCCATTTGCTCAGTACTAAAAAAATCTAAAATTTTCATTTTCCCTCAAGAAAAATTTCAACCATACATGCACCCTAAATATAATAATTGCAAATATGTTTCTATACTCCCCCTGCAAGGAACAAATATATATTCCGTCATCAATAACGAAGAAAACATGATTTTATGGAATATTATGCACAAAGCAAATGAAGGGGAGCTCGTATGATAAGTCACAGAGTTGCCAATTTGTATTTGATTGATCACAACTTCAATAATTCATAACTTTCTTATTTTCATTCAGAATTTGCTCAAACTTTCACTCACCTGATTTTCTTATTATTCTGCCTCTATCGAAACAAACTTATTTTGGGGGTGGACTTTCCCTTTAATATATCACATTCTTAAGAAAGATAAGTCAGGACAAATCAAATTTTCAAATATATTAAACAAACTAAAAAGGTAAGGTGGTAAGGTATATGAATAATTTAGTTGATAACTGCATTTATACAGCTCACTCCCAGATCCTAATCAAATGATTGGTCATGGGCGGTCACGTGTGATTCATTTACTTAGACTATATTGCACGCTTTTTCAGTGCATGTACATGATGTGTAGTAGTGTGCGTAAAATCCCTAATACTGTGTGTGCATGAGCCTATTCGTGCACTATGCATAATTGGATAAAGAGGTAAGTGCGCTTACTATATCTATGTTTGCGCACTAAATTTAGCCTTTTTAAACTTGAGATTTATTTGTCAGCCATACTTTAATGTCACGAAACAATCTTGAATGAATTCTCTTTACATCAAATACCAAGGATCTAGGAGTTTCGTTGTATAAAACAAATGATGCATGTTTTCATTCGTTCATTAAACGACCTATCTGCCCTCGTTGATGCTGTGTGTATCTATCGCACTCAGCCTAACGGCTTAACGGCTTCGTGCAATAGATACACACAGCCTCAACTCGAGTGTGGATAGATCGTATAATGAACTCATGCGCATGCATCATTTGTATAATAGCACTACATCTCTTTCTACAGGCTTCCATCGCAGAGGGTTTGAGTGATATGCTGAAATGGCTTGCCACCATGTCAAAGGAGGCAGTTCGCCCCAAATACGTAGTGGTCATTCATGTGTCTAGACAACGAGGGACAGAGTTCTGCGTTGCTGTCGTAGGTAAGGATCAGGCCTGATAATTTACCTGATTTCAATCGGTTTTAAATCGGGGGAGGGGGGAATGTTGTAAGATGCCACCCCCCCCCCCAGAATCCTCTTCTTTTTTTTTTTACTCAAGGGGGTGTGGTTGAGGGGAATTTTTAGTGCTCTCTATCACCCCTGAAGGATTTACTTGGTAAAGAAAAACAAAGTCAGAATTTTGTTGGGACCAGCAGGATTTGAATCTGCCGTTAACTGCTTTCTTGGCAGCAATTAACTCTACCACCATGGCCAGTCATTATGAACTGGAAACAAATACCTCAGCTCTCGTGACTAATTGTGACTTATTAATTGTCACCAGTCCAGGACACCAGGACAATAGCTTCGGATGATTTACCTCCTCGGAGTAATTTCAATTTGTAAGGACATTTTTGGCTTACATGCAACCAGTAATTGAAAAACAAGCAGATGATGGCTAGGTTCAAATCCAGCTGGTTCCATTTTTTTTCCTGACTTGTTTTTCAATTACAAGATAATAATAATAATAATATGTCTTGTTTACCCAGGGTAGCCTCATCAGTATTCATACTGTTCTCCAAGAGGGCCCTGCAATCATATTATTACCCCAGGCAACAGATTCAGGCTTGCCCGCACACAATGTATGCACATTCTCCACTCCCTAGGGAGCATTCCAGCCAGGGCGTCATTTTTACAAGCGCTCACTTGCTAATCTAAGCACATTAGCTTTCGCATCCTAACGGGGTACCCATTTAACACCTGGGTGGAGATCAAGCACACAATCTTTTTTTTACTGGGTGCAATCTAAAAATTTCTGTCATGACTGACATATATACTTGTACTAGCTAACACACTGCTGTATTTTTGCAATTTAACAAAAGTTCTAGGCACAAAGAGTCATTGTTGAATGTTGACAATTAAAGTTTCATGTCACAAAAGTTTGTGGTTTTACGTACATCACCACTAATATCACTACATCTGCAAAGAGCGTATAGTGTATTCCCACCTGTTTGTTTTTGTGTTAATCAGGTAGCAACCAGGTGCGTGCAATCACAGAGTCAAAGCTCTCAACCGCAGAGACATTCAAGGAGATCAGTTATGAGATCATCACGGGCAAGATGCAGCTGCTCGATAGCCACTTCTTCAAGAATAGTCCTGGTAAGTCATCGGTTCCCGCTTGAGGCTTGACCATTACCCGGGTAGTCTGGTCAATCACAGATTTTGAATTGAAGTTTGTTGTTCAAGCTTACAATGAGGCCAAAAAATACTGGAGAATTTATGAGTTTATCGCGGGCAAGATGCAGCTCTTTGATAGCCACTTCTTCAAGAATAGTCCTGGTAAGTCATTGGTTCCCCCTTGACCGTTAGTCTGCGTGGTCAGTCACAGATTTTTAACTGAAGTTTGTTATACAAGCTTACAATTATAAGGCCAAAAAATGCTTAAGAATCTTTTAGATTATGAAGGGCAAGATGCAGCTCCCGGAGAGCCACTTCTTCAAGAATAGTCCAGGTAAGTCATCTGCTCCCCCTTGACCATTAGTCTGCATGGTCAATCACAGAGCTTACAATGAGGCCAAAAAATACTTAAAGGGGAATACCGAACAAACATAAATATACGCCCTTTTCAAGCTTAGTGCATGAAAAACACAAGAACGTTTAGCTTATCACTTTAGAAGGTTGCGTTTAGGAGAACGGCTACTTTGAAAATCGTATTATAAACCTTAAACCATGTCTAATCGCAAGTTTTGCGAGAATATATGTGTGAATATATATTCCACAGGAAAGACACGTTGTCTCGTCAGTTTACACCCCCTTTAACAACAAACTATTTTCTTGCTCTCACTCTTTCTGTTTCAGCTGGACATGACATTGATGCTCTCCTGGAGAGCTTCTCGGCCAGTCTCGGAGGAGAGGTGTTTATTCCATTCGATGGAGACATCCTACAGAAGACCCCAGAATCAGTAGCACAGGATATGATTGTTATTTCTAAAGGTAATTAGTAGCAGTCTATTGGCAAGTAAACCCAGACGTTTTGTGTCCGGACAGGCGTATCCGAATGTGTATCCGAATGGTTGATTTAAAACAGCAATTTGAAGAAGTTTACAAACAATATTTCATAACTTTTCTAAGGCTTATGTTGGACAATATAAAGGAAAAATATTCATAATGGGTAGTACTATTTGATAAACATTTTTCGTTCAATCGAAAGGCAAAAGTGAAGGCTTTATGTTTGTTAAGTGTCCAAACACCCAACCCGCCCGCCCCCCCCCCCCATCCTACATTTTATTTGTAAATTTTCAATAAGGGAGTTTAGAGATACAATCTGCGCATGGGTAGCTAAAGGTCATTTGTACCAAAAAGGTAAAACCCACAGAGATGAATACTGGATATGCGCTCATGAAAGTTATATAACATTATTCATTTATGCACCAACGGTACATTCTATGATACGCAGGTGGAAGTATTCTTTTCAAGAGGGCAAACAAAAGGTATTCATGAAGCACATCTAGGACTTTGGCAGTTATTATTCTAACATGCTCAAAGTGGAACTTCTCCATGTGTAAAAGATCTGTGGATATTTGGGGTCATTTGTACCATGTGCTATCTGTAAACTCCCTTATAAGCCAGGGCAGTGGATGCATGTGCTTATGAATGTACAGTACACAACACAGATCATGTATTTATTTTGTTTTTGTGAAACGGGGATTGTGCTCCACTAACTAGCTCCCCCTGAGCACTACATGTGCTGCTCATGTTTTGTTTCAACCAAGCTATAGTGCGTTTGTCTTTGGTATTTTTTCCTCATGGGCTTTTGATTTTGTGTTGGTCTCTTTATACACTACAGTACGTGTCAATTTCTATCCTTGAAAACATTTTTTTTTGGGGGGTAAAATAAAATTGTTTTACACCCTTCCACAGGGTTCCTATATCATCACAAATAGACGTACCAGTAAAAAAGAAAGTATACAAAATGTTGGTACTACCTGTATGATTTCATATTCCTATTTGCTATCTCTTGCCAGACTGAAACACATGAAAAGCTTCCATGGATTACGAACTGTATTCTATGTAAATTTGCATATTCTTTTTGCCTTTCAAATTTGCAAGGTTGAACAGGTCCCATTTGTATGATGTAAACAGTTGGACAGGCTTTATTTTTATGGCAGTACTACAGTCAAACCTGTTTTAGTGACCAACTGTCTACAAAGATCCCCTGTTGTTTCCCTTGAAAAAGGTTTCTCATTGAATCATGTACTAAAGAAACCTGTCCACAAAGGCCACTGTTTGTGTTTCCCTTGGGCGATCGCTATAGACAGGTTTGACTGTATTACTAAATTCTTTGTATCTTTGATGCTTTTTCTTTTAGATCAACCAGAACCCATGTTCACCCTTCATCAGGCCCAGATCACTGCAGCCATGAAGATCCTGTCCCAGGTCTGTACCATCGCAGACTCTGACCAGATGGCCCTGGACCTGGGCCGCTTCATACAGGTCCATCTCCTCATCATCGTCCCACCCTCCAAGGCCCTCTATAGTCAGACACTGACCAGACTTGTTCAGTCAAGTAAGTCGAAGACGAATAAGTGATGATGATGATTACAATGATGGTGATGAGGATTACAATGATGACGATGATGGTGATGGTGATGGTGGTGATGATGAATTTGTTGACCTGGAAAGTGGAGTAACATGTTAAAGAGTACTCTTTCAGTTGAAACATTATTTACATTTAATGAAGTGCCTTATTGTGAGTAAAAAAGAAAGGGACACTTGTCCAAGTGTGTTCCCCAAAACTTTGCCTAATGAGCATGTATGTTATTTCATTCATTTGGAGCCAGTAGTATGCTAATTCATAATTAAACACAGCTTTAATTTCAATTCTTCTGGCTCCTAAAGTGAATGATTAATTGTTGTTTACCCCCTTCCCCCATTAAACAAAACAAATCCCCTGTTGATGTCCTCAGTGGACACATTTAGTATGAATGGTTCCATTTTCTTAAAGGGATTGGGTATCTTTGTCTCAGATTCTGAAACAAATCATGGATGTAGCTCACGCTGCAATCATGATTAGAAACCTTTAGGTCAGTTAGGAACCCCATGACTTCTACAAGCCCATCGCCTGTCTGGTTATCAAGATATTTATGATTGGAAATCGAAATTTAAAAATCTGTTTTCCTAAAAGTTTTTATAAAACTATTAGTCTATTAGAGAAAATGAGTATGGTAAAACCGGTCAGTCAAAGATTTTTACTTTTCTGAGGCACTTCATGATCATTTTGAAGCGCAATTTTTGTAGGGCTTCAATATTACACCATATCACAGACACTGATGACACGTAGGGCCATGTGTCTCAGATTTAACATTGTTATACGATGCCTTTAACCCCCCAATCTTTCTTCCGCCATTTTTAGACCTTCTGGTGGACCTGGGTCTGGTGACCACTAACGATGCCAAGTCTGCTGAGCCTTACGTGATGCAGTGCGACAGTGCAGCAGAGAACCAGGCCAAGTTTGACCTGTTTATCAACAAGGTCAAGACCATGCCTCACACTTTGTTTGTTCTAGTTCAGGACCAAGCCCATCTTGATGTTAGGTGAGTTTCCAATCATAATTATATTGATAATCAGACAGGCGATCGGCTTGTAAAAGTCATGGGGTTCCTGACTGACGTAAAGGTTTATAATTATCATTGCAGCATGAGTTAAATCAAGGATTTTTATGCCTCCGCCACCGAAGGTGGTACCAGAGGCATCATGTTTTTGGGTTGTCCGTCCGTACATCCGTACGTCCGTACGTCCGTCCGTACGTCTGTCCCGTTTGACCGTTATCACAATATCTCAAGAACCATTTAAGATTTAAACTTAAGACTCGGGAATAGTATTTATCACCATAGGAAGACGATCTGATTAGATTTTGGAGTACGTAGGTCAAAGGTCACAGGTCACAGAGGTCAACTTATGAAATTCCATACATTGAGATTGTTATCATGATATCTCAAGAACCACTGGAGAATTTTCACTTCAAACTTAATGATAGTATGTATCACCATATCATAATATCTCAAGAACCACTGGAGATTTAAACTTCAAACTTAATGATAGTGTGTATCACCATAGGAAGACAATCTGATTAGATTTTGGAGCACGTAGGTCAAAGGTCAAGGGTCACAGAGGTCAACTTATGAAATTCCATACATTGAGATCGTTATCGCGATATCTCAAGAACCACTGGAGAATTTTCACTTCAAACTTAATGATAGTATGTATCACCATATCATAATATCTCAAGAACCACTGGAGATTTAAACTTCAAACTTAATGATAGTGTGTATCACCATAGGAAGACAATCTGATTAGATTTTGGAGCACGTAGGTCAAAGGTCAAGGGTCACAGAGGTCAACTTATGAAATTCCATACATTGAGATTGTTATCATGATATCTCAAGAACCACTGGAGATTAAAACTCCAAACTTGTTTAAATTGCTCTATGGCGGAGGCATCATTTTCGACTGCGCGCAGTCAAAATTCCATCTAGTTTTAGAGGATCTAAGACAAAGTTACCGGATCCCTTTAATAAGTTTTCCTGACTCTTCTGCCTCATCGTATAAACCTATAAAGAACATAAAAAAATGTATTTTGTCTTTTTCAGGGTGGCAACTACCGGCCAACAAGCCTCTGCCGGGGGCTTTGCTCACAGGTATGTGAACAGCCACGGCGTCCTCGACGCGCCCAACCTCCTGACCCTGCACATCAGCAGCCAGCCCTACAGCCTACAGACCAAGAAATCTAGGATTGCTCCTCATAATGAGATCCCCATGCCCGTCTCTGTGCCACACGCAGCCACCATGCCGGACCAGGTAATATGATGCAACGCAGCATTTGTTTCTATCTATCTATCTATCAGGGTATAGTTCATCCAGACGTTGGACAAAGCCCTCCTCATAACAGGTCCATTCTCTTCTGTCTCTAGCTATCCTAGTCCAAACAGCCGTTCCCATGTACGATGCTAGGTCATCTCTCTATCTTCTGTTCTGCCTTCCTCTTCTTCTCTCTCCCATCCTTGGTTGCCATTCTGTTAAACTATTTGTCCATCTATTGTCGTGGAGTCTTGCTACATGCCCAGCCCATCTCCACTTTGATTCTCTGACTTTCAGCATTCGTTTGATGTTTGACAATGATGATTGTTTTACCTGACTGCTAAGAAGCATGTACAGTGAGACCTGGGGGGTGTTTCTCAAAGACTAAGATCGACTTTAAGTTGGACTTAACTATGGCAGGCTGTTCGTGCCACTATAGATCCTCTTACCATTCCTGACATTGGTTTCTCAAGGCACATACAAATCATGGTCACAAATCTACAAAATTTACATTTTTTTGATAATTCATTATTGAAGGAAGAAATATTATCTAAATATCATAATGGTGAGAGCAACCAGTGGCATGAACGGCCTGCCATAGTTAAGTCCAACTTATAGTCGATCTAAGTCTTTGTGAAACACCCCCCTGCTCTAGCAACCACCTGTATGGAAAGACCACTTTTTTGTTTCCCTTGAAACTGGTTTCAAATTGAAAAGATAAAGACCACCTGCCTATAAAGACCACATTTCATGTTACCATTGAGCGGTCTTTATATACAGATTTCACTGTATGTGCTTGTAAGTAAACAACTAGAGGACCAATGGCTTTAAGTCTTCTCAAAGGGACTTGGCAAATAATGAGGATCAATGCTTTATCAAAGGGCACAAGTGATTCGACCTGGTTTCGGACCAGGGACCTCTCGGTTACGAGTCGACCACTGCTCTACAAATGAGCCATCGCTATGCTCAGGCAAGAGTAAAAGAGCTTCTCGTACAAAATTTATGTTTGTATACAGTTTTTTAGAAGTTATGTTAAAGGGAGTGTGTCATGACCTGACTATGTGTATTTCGCGTGGGCCTACTCGGGGCAAATCCGGTATAATACGACTACGAACGACGCAACCGCAGCATTCACGTGCATGCAACATACGCGAAACCGGACAACTTCGGTCTGTTTTGCAAGGCTAGCGCATGCTGACCCAGTTAATCAAGTCCATTTGTTTATGTGCAGTTGTCCCAAAGAAAACATACATGTAGATGGCATTAACCAGTATTTGCCATGATAAACTCCCATTAACCGTACCGTTTCAATTTTTCTCGTAGACGGATTCTGACGCGCCGCTCACCTACTTCGGAATAGAGAAATACAGGGAGACTCTGAAGTGGAGTAACAGGATGCCCTTGCTGCAGAGCGATGATGGATATGAAACAATGGCTGATTCCCTCACAAAGAGGTAAGATGAGCATGAAATGATAACAATTTGAACTACATTGCCAACAGGTTTTTTATCTATTTTATTTTCTTCTTTTAGATTTTAAAGGCATCATTTAACAATGTTTCCAGTTTTAAAAAATCTGAGATGCATGACCCTACTCGTAATCAATGTCTGTGATATGGTGTACGTAATATTGAAGCCCTAAAAAAATGTGACCGGTTTTACCATACTCATTTTCCCCAATAGACTGTAGTGTTATAAAAACCGTTAGGAAACGATTTCCAATCATAAATATCTTGATAATCAGACAGGGGATCGGCTTGTAAAAGTCATCGGGTTCATGACTCACCTAAAGGTTTATAATTATCATTGCAGCATTAGCTAAATCCAGGATTTTGTTTTAGGATCTGAGACAAAGTTATCGAGTCACCTTAAGGGTCTAATTGTTTTTTTATCCCCACCTCCGTGCCTGCAGGTACCCCAGACTGCACAGCATGGTGGTAAGGACCTACCTCCTCATCCGGCAGTACTCCGCTGCCCTGATGGCCCTGGCCGGCATCCCCCAGATACAGAGCGACACCACCAGCCTGACCTACAAGATCCTTCGGGACCTGGCCCTGGCGCCCTTCCAGCAGACCCCCGGCGCCGGGGCTGGGGCCGGCCACATGGTGCTCCTGCGCATCCCGTCGCCGCAGCTGGCCATCCTGGCTCACGACAAGCTGAGGGCCGTCAGGGATAAGATTGGCTACCAGTATCGGCTGGACATTGTCCTCTGCGCCCAGGACCAGGAGATCCTCCTGGATGACTACTTCCTCAAGAGACTTCAGGTAGGGACCTTGAACTCTCTTCTTTTATACAGTCAAACCTGTCTATAGCGACCGCCCAAGGGAAGCAAAAACAGTGGTCTTTGTAGACAGGTTCCTTTAGTACATGTTTCATTGACAAACCATTTTCGGGGGAAACAAAAACTGTGGTCTTTCTAGACAGGAGATCCTTCTGGATGACTACTTCCTCAAGAGACTTCAGGTATGGCCCTTGAACTCTCTTCTTTTTATATTTGCCTATTTATTTATTTATCTCAGATTTTTATATTTTTTCATTTATAGCAATAATAATAATAGTAATATTGGATATTTATATAGTGCAAATATCCACCCTGCAAGGTGCTCAAGGCACTCCAATATTACCCCAGTCTCTGCTAGGCTACCGATTTGGGTGCTCACAGCATTCAAGGAATTCCTTTCTACCGGTACCCATTTAACACGTGTGTGGAGAGTGGCAAATGTAGATTAATGTCTTGCCAAAGGACATCAGTGCTGCGACGGGACTCGAACCGCGGACCCTGTGATCTACAGTCTGACTACTTATCCACTAGACCACAACACCTCTATCTTTCATATTTACCTATTCATTTATTTATATCTTTATTAATTAATTAATTTATTCATTTTGCATTTCCCCTGTAATAATGTTTCTTATTGAAACCTCGCCAAAAGAACCTGTATGTAAAGACCTCCAGGGGGGTGTTTCATAAATCTGTTTGTAAAGTTAGGCATGACTTTACAAACGACTTGAATATAAAGTGCCAGATAGGATGCCCAAAGTTTTTCCTGATGTTTTAACGAAGTGTGACTCTATTTTCAATAACCTCAATTAAATTATGGCAAAAAATATACTTTGCGTTAAAAATGTTTGTTATAATAAGAATGTTAATTTACATCTGCACAGTTCAACTTTAATTAATGCACTTAAAACTGATTGAGCATCTCATTTGGATTTTCATATATAAGTCATTCCTAAAGTCATGCATAACTTTACGAACAGCTTTATGAAACACCCCCCTGACCCCCTTTCTTGAGCCCCTTGAGCAGTCTTTGTATACCGGTTTCACTGGCATAATTATTCTTTTGTATGTGACTCAAACAGGGATGGAGAGACACAGACTCTGACTGGAGACCACAGAGCTACGAAGATCTCAATCGTCTGCCCTGCATCGTGGTACTGGCTGGGAAGCACCTTGCTGGAGAAACTATGCCAAAGTGAGTACAACAATTTGAGGGAAGGAGAGAATTAAAGGGATAGTTTAGTTCTGTTGCAGAGGGCGCTACCCGAAATACTTTTTTTGTGAGATAATGAAAAACCGAATGTCAAATTTGAAAGAACATACAATTTAAACGACAAAATCATCTTTGTTTGATCAAAATTGGTTCAGAGACGGCTGAAATATCCATAAATATAACGATTTCTAATACTTGTGTACCACCACGAATATTAGATAATTTGAAAAAGCCGTTGAAATAGCGCCTTTTAAATTTCACACATTTTGGGTCTAAAATTACCTTCATATCAATTCTAGGTTCTAAAAGGGCACTAGAAATGTCATAGATAAGAATAAGAGCAATAACCATGCACTTTAAAGGCATTTGTGTTCTGAAAACAGAACTCAACTATCCCTTTAACTGTATTTGAATTGCGTTTTTTACTGAAATGTATACTGGCTATGAGTTCTTCATATACTGCCTTTCTTTATGTTACTGGCCAGAAAATAATCTTGATGGAGATAAGATGCCTAAAATAAGTACGGAAAGGAGTTCATTGAACTTTGATTGAATGCCATATTGAAGGAAATTGATAATGGATATGAGGGCCTTCAAAGATTGCCTTGCACGGTGTCACTATCCTGAACGCATCTTGCTGGAGAAAAAATGCCAAAGTAAGACATTACAGAAGGGAGCGGGTTGAAAGAAGCTCCAAAAGACGCTCCGATGACGATTGTTCAGGGGGAGTGTTTCACAAAGACTAAGATCGACTTTAAGTTAAACTTAACTATGGCAGGCTGTTTATACCACTGTTTGCTCTCACCATTACGATCTTTAGATAATAATTTTCCCTTCAATAATGAATTATCAAAAAATGTAAGTTCTGTAGATTTGTGACCATGATTTGTACGTTCCTTGAGAGACCGATACTAGTAAATGGTGAGAGCAAACAGTAGCATGAACTGCCTGCAATAGTTATGTCAAAATAAAAGTCGATCTCAGTCTTTGTGAAACACCCCCCTGGACTTTGTTTAGCCAGAGACATGGGGTTAGGTACAGTGTTCATTCCAAGGTTGGAGTTTAACATTTTGGTCAGTTAAAGATATTGCTCGCAGGGCAGTTTTTTTAAAACATATATATCATGACAAACAAATGGACATTTTTACTTGATTGATACTTTGAAAGAAAATTTGAATGCCTTTATATACTGCCATTTATTTTGTTGATACTCATTGGACAATATGTGCTGTAGAAACGAAAACCAGAGAAAACAGTGGAGCGAGAGGATAGAAGTGGTTGCTGAATGTTACGTTGATTGATCTGAACGCACATATTTTGGCTTTCATCTTTTATCAGGTCACTAAAGGTCATTGACCTGCGGCTCGTCAACCACGGCGTCTACGACCTGACCAGCCTGGAGCAGGAGCTCGGCCTGGGCTGCACCCACTGCCCCGACTCGGCCATCCCCACGGTGGTCACCGTGGCAGAGGACAGCGACGATGACGACGACGATGGCGATGATGAGGAGGAGGATGGGGTCTTCGAGGAGAGGATGGATTACGAGATGGGCGGGTCTCCGCACCCCCTGCAGATCGATGTCGCATCGTCACAGGCTGGAGGGGATAACGCTTCTACTAAATCAGGTAAGGAGAATATTGTAGTGTAGTGGAAATCCAACAGGTTTATGATGCATGCTACTTTAAAGGTATAGACCAGTTCTGGTCATGCGATTGCATTATCAGAAAAGGTTGATCATCTAGCATATAAGTATTGGTGTGTACTGCAAGGTTCTGGAATCTTCAAAATGATAAGAAATTTGGACCAGTCTTGGTAAAGTAACAAGCACTGTACACAGACAGATGTAAATGGGACTACGCGATTTCTATCCAGTCTGGATAGATAACATAATTTACCAAATACATGTATATCAATTAGTAGGCGTTTTGTATCATCACGTATTAGTCAAAACATATTCTTTGACATGATTGGTAATACGAGCTTCCATTTCACTTTTGGAGAGGGGGGCGTTTCCAAAACTGGTCTGGGTAATCACCAATTTTTTTTTTTTGTACGTTTTTTATACCATGCTGGTATCCCACAATGTATACCGGTATTCACAAAATCAGCTTCACATATTCTTTCTGTAAAGAGATTTCACAAGATATTCCATGGTCACAACTGGCCGTGCACCTCTGTGCCTCTGCACATACTTGCATCGGATGCACGGTTTGCTTGTTTTTCATCTCCGCGGAACAAACAAGTGCCTGGAGCAGGTACTTGCCATATCCAATAACCTCTGCGTGGATCAATTTTTTTTTATGAAGGCACGTGCAACAACAACACGTTCATGAAATTTATTGACAGAGGGTAATAATAACATTGTAAAGGGCATATAAGTATTCTCATTGTGCACAGTATAAATGTTAAATATTACTTCAAAACAAGGAACTTTTGCTACATGAAGTTTTTTGCAAATTGCAAAAATTTAGCATTGTGTCAGTTGTGTTTCTATCCTGTCACAACATGACATTCGTGAATCTGTTCCACTCACAACATTTGTGAAAGTTTTATGCGCAAGAACTGTTATGGTTTAATGGTATTATATTAGTCCTTATTTTATGTCCCACAAACTTTTACAAAATCTGTTGCGGAAAGGTCATTTTCATATATGCATCCAATGTTTTATGGAATAACTTGCCAGAATACCTTAGAAATATAGAAATATATGAAAAATTCAGAAGTAATTTAAAAGCATGTCCATTTAGCACCTTGTGAGATCTCACAATTTTAAACAAAATGCACCATTTCCACTCCTTCTGTATTCTGTTCTGTAAAGCGCATAGAGACATGCAATTAAGCCTGTGTTTTATTCGCTATATGAAAACATTGAATTATTGATATTATTATATTATTGCATGATTTTTTGATTAGCAGACAACATGAGCAGTGCTCGCTCCACCCCCAAGTCATCGGTCATGGAGACATCCCGACCCCCATCGGTGGAAGGGGCGCCACCCTCGACCACCACCACCACCCGCCCCGTCTCCAGCCCCGGGATGCACCTCAGCTCCCCACCCCCATCTCTCACCCCCACCAAGGCCCAATCTCCCGCCCCCTTGGTCCACCCTGACCACCCCACCCCTACCAGCAACGGCTACCCAAAGCACGATGCGGGGGCGGAGATGGAAGTTGTTGCCGGGGGAGGGACAGGGCTTGGGGATTCCCCAATGGTTGCTAAGGAGGATGTTGAGATGCAGGAAGGAGATGGCAAAGGAGAGGATGATAAACAGACCGTTGGAAATGAAGACGGACTGCCGATGATGATTCTGTCAGGATCCGCATTCAACCTACTGCACAAGAAAGAATCAGTGGTAGGCAATCTCTTCATGGTCATATTTCTGATGATCTACATCAACAAAATTGGGGGAGGGTGGAATAAAAGACGAAATTGTGTCTACAGCAGTCATAACGAGTCTGTATTATCACATTGCAACAAATTGAAACATACTGCTTATATCATAGTCAATTAAGGCACTGATCATTATTTGAAATTATTAGGTCTCATATTGTAATCATGTCTTTTGAAATTGTTATATATTACTTGTGTGTATAACAACTGATTATGATAGCAGTTTTCTCAGGACGATAGAGTATCTCAACTCAAAACTGATTTGTTTACTTCTTCTGTATTTCAAATGCTAGATATAAACACATTCAAACCTGCTTTAACAACCACCTGTATAGAAAGACCACATTTTTTTGTTTCCCTTGAAAATGGTTTCTCATTGAAACATGTACTGAAGGAACCTGTACATAAAGACCACCTGCCTCTAAAGACCACTTTTCTTGTCTCCCTTGGGTGGTTTTTATGGACAGGTTTCACTATACATGAATGGGCCATTAAAGGGATCGTTTAACAATTTTAAATCTGAGATGCACGGCCCTACATGTACGTGTTATCAGTTTCTGTGATATGGTGTTATATTGAAGCCCTAAAAAATTGCGCTTCAAAATGATCAAGAAGTGCCTCAAAAAAGTAAAAACCGGTTTTACCATACTCGTTTTCCCCAATAGACTGCAGTGTTATGAAAACCGTTTTGCAAGCGTAAAATCTGATTTCGATTTTCAATCATAAATATCTCGATAGTCAGACAGCCGATTAGCTTGTGAAAGTCATGGGATTCATGTATGACCTCAATGTTTATAATTATGATAGCAGCATGAGCTAAATCAAGGATTTTGTTTAGAATCTGAGGCAAAGATACCCAATTCCTTTAACATTCCTCCTTTCTAAATTCTTTCTTTCTTTCCAAACAGCAGTCCCCTGCCATCGCTGCCCTCTCCTCAAGCCTGGACACCTCATGGTCTGGCGCTCTCAGGCCAGCACTGACCAAGAACACCGGACCGGCCAAGAGTGCTTTCTACCGGAAGTGGACAGAGCCCAAGTCCTATCACTATGACTACGAGAGGAGCGAGGATTCTGCCAACTACCATCCGAGGAGGCTGCTCCTCTATGGCCCACCTCAGGTACGTTACCCCCCCCCCCCCTCCCTGGCTCTTCATTATGATAATAGACTGTACTCGATACGCTGCCTGTCTACTAAGCTTAATTAAAAATTACAAGCTATGGACTTTGTGGAACTTTCCGGAACTAGTTGCACATGGACAAAGCATCATCTCAGGTTTTCAAAACAAAACCACCTCTCTATCTTTCTTCATAGGGAATTCTAGGCATGCCTGAAATACTGAAATCGGAAAGATTTAATAGCTCCATATATTAAAGTTGGTGAGGTACATTAGTCTCTAGTATTTTTTGTCTCCGTTAGAAAGTAGCCAGGGGCATTATGTTTTCGGGTTTTCTGTCCGTACATCTGTACGTTTGTACGTCCCGTTCTCGCGTTATCTCAGAACCAATTGATGGATTCCTGCCAAACTTGGGTCATGGATGTATCTTGCAGAGCCAATGAACTGTCTAAAATTTTGGGTCACAAGGTCAAAGGTCATAGGGCTCATTATGTATGCAAAAATAGCTTGTGATCATATTATCATTAGAACCGATGGACAGATTACCATCAAACTCAGGACATGTGTGTATCTTGCAGAGCCAATGAACTGATTAGATTTTAGGGTCATAAAGTCTAAAATCAAAGGGTCATACATGTTTGTGAAAAAAAGCTTGTAATGCGCGTAGTCGAAGGTACATCTAGTTTCATTCTTTAAAAGAATTTTTTTTTAAGTTGTCAGCTCACCTTCAAAGACTCCATTGATATCTAAAACAAGCACGATTCTGGCAGGCATGTATGTTAGCACTGATTAAACAATTTTCAACAGATAATCTTATCTTTACTGTGTGATACAAGATCTCAAAACTGTGTTCGATCAGTAGACTTTGTCCACTTTGTTCTCCCCAACCTCGTGGAATGAGACGTTTTGCAGTAGCCGCATTGGAGACTTGGAACAACACCCCCCTTTCCATATTAGGGAAATTACCTTTCTTGCCACCTTCAAAAGATCCCTCAAAACTTACCGTTCCCCCAGTGATCTATGTGATCTACTTCCTGTGAGACTAAATCTAGTTCCTCTTTTCATATATTTGAAAGCGCTATGGTACTTACTGTTTTTAGCGCTCCTAAATATTCGATATTATTATTATTAACGAACCATTCCTATTTTTGCCTCTCCGTTTAATAACCAGGTGGGCAAGACTGGCGCTTACCTTCACTTTGCCCGCGTCCTCCTGCGCATGCTTATCAGACTGCAGGAGGTGGAAGTCTTTGACGAACCCTACCTCGACATCCCACCAGCACTGGAAGGCACTGCGGAAGATCTCGAGAGTGAGGAGGTTGCTGATGGTGTCGCCAGCCGAACGGGATTTGACAGTCAACTCCGAGAAGGCAGATTCAAAGGACATAGCCCTATTTGGCAACCTGGCAATAAACAGCAAGGTACGATTGATATTTATCTTTATTATGCCTCCGTTACAAAGTAGCCGGAGGCATTATGTTTTCGGGTTGTCAGTCCGTCCGTACGTCCCGTTCTCGTGATCGCGGTATCTCAAGAACCGATGGGTGGATCCCTGCCAAACTTAGATCATGTATGTATCTTGCAGAGCCGATGAATTGATTAGATTTTGGGGTCACAAGGTCAAAGATTAAAGGGTCATTATACATGTATATGAAAAATAGCTTGTAATCACGATATTCTGAGAACCTCTTAATGAATTACTATTAACTTGAAAAATTGCTTCTGTTTTGGTTTGTGAAATCGCTCTTTGGCAGAGGCATCATTTTGGACAGTCGAAGTTCCATCTAGTTTTTTTCTGTTTTTTGATTCGTTTCAAGCAATGTAATAGTGATCCAACACATGCTTAGGCAACATTTAATCCAGGGGTTCTCTATTTCATAAAAGATTGAACATTGGAGGAGCTAAATCTGAAGACTTAAGTTTCTTTTTTTTTGTAGGTAATTCTAAACCTAATCCTAACCCTATCCTTATCCCTATTCCTATCCCTAACTCTAACCCTCGGTCTTGGAAGTTCATGTGCATAAATTAAAGGAGATGTATATAGTACATCAATAATATGTAAGTCATGTTGATTTTTTCCTCTCCACATCATTTCAATCCGGAAAGAGTTTTTACATGCAAAGGTTATTTATTAAGGAATATTTTTTTGTACTTGAAATATGACACCAAGTGTGGCTAATTAGCATACAAAGAAATACACAAGAAATACTTATTTGCTCTCTTTCATGAATGGGGTCACCCTGAAACTTTGTGGAAATGTGCTCTGTTGCTATGTTGATGGATTGTATTCGATATTTTGTTAGCAAACATCTGTCATTATTTGTTAATGATTTTTATTGTCCTATCAAATTTCGGATTAGCTAATTATATATTCATAAGCTAATTGTGAGAAAATGGTAACTTTTTTTTAAAAATGGATCAATACAAACATCAGTACATACACTCCACAAGCAGAACACCAGGTTTGAACTCAATCCATCATTGCATTCTTACAAAATCATTAATACAATCATACCATGCAACTGAAAATCTTACTTTTGAGAGAATAAAGAAACTAAAGGGCCTTGCATTTGAGATACATACATATGTTACCAAGACGTTCACAAAAGATGCGTCCCTCGTTCTTTTCCGATATATACAGATAATTTTATTTTTACAATATTTGAGATCAAAATAAATACATTTTATAAGAGAAGTCAATTAGAAATACATGTATATAAATTAGTGCTGTAGTCAAACGTTTAACCGTCCGGTATCCGACCGCCCATGGCGGATTCCGTTTGCAATTGGACAGTTTCGTTTACCCGTTTATAATTTTTTTTTTTTTTTTTTAATATTTATTTTTTTTATTATTTTTTTTAAAGTTTCGATTTATGCCCCTCCACCTGGCACTATGCCTGGCAATGTCTCCCAGCTCAGTAATCGGTGTGATGACTTACCACTTGGAAACTAGAACAACAATCCAATTTGTCTGTCATCTTGGTTTGAAAGTAATCTTTGTAATAGATCTCAATATATATTCATCCAAGTTTAACACATGGTGTACCACAAGGTTCTATCCTAGGTCCTCTACTATTTTTAAATTTACTTTAATGATCTTACACATTATTCTAAAACGACATTGTTACTATTATTTGTGACTAGTTCACAAGCACAAATCGGCGCCTTCAGTTAAATTACCTTCCAGCTTTTTCACAAGGACAAAAAAAAAAAAAAAAAAAAAAAAAAAAAAACGATTTTTTTTTTTTTTTATTTATTTTTTTTTTATTTATTTTTTTAATTTTTTTTTTTAATAAATCGTTTAACCGAAAACCGTCCGGTTTTGACAGGCGGTTAAACGGAATTGGAGATATCCGTGATGTTACAGCACTAATATAAATAAATAACTAAACTACTTTGGTGGGGAAGCTGAGCTACCAGCGTATATATCTGTTAACACTTTGGAGACGACGGTGTATCCCTAGTATTTTGACAAAGTTTTTCAGCTTATTATTAGCTATTAAGGATTATTTAGATATATTCCTTCATCTCATCTATTAAAAAATAATAACGTTCCATGGAAAAAAATTGAGAAAGAGTGATATCATTTCAACTTTACCCTAAGTTAGTGTTCGGATCGAAAAAAGGCCCTCGAAATACCCGTACAGCTGGAGACTGACGCGTACGCGCACGTCCGTTCCATATGTTATCTATAAAGCCTGTCGTCTCAAAAGTTTTGACTCCACATCTATCTTTTACGTCATTGTATTTACATAACTGATTTTTGATGCATAGCTAGAAAGTAGAATATAAGACACAAAAAGAGTTATTAAAACATTGGCAGATCTATGATATAAAGAAAAAAAGGCATTACGAGACAGCTTTATTATTGCATTTTATTATTTATGATTCAAGGCTTTGGATTATTGGTTTTGTTGATGAATGATGAAGATTATTACATGGCGATTTTCCATCGGTGATTGGACGATTTTCTCTGGGCAATATGCGAGGCTGTTTTCCTCACATTTCCATCGATGTATTGTAGTTATTCATATACTAATATTATTAGGCCTATAGTAGGCTTATTCATAAAGACCTAGGATATTCTTTTAAATAAAATTTGCGATACGCCGCGTTTCACTTGGCTACAAATAACCGACCTTACTCTCAACTGTGTAAGTATAAAAGTATGCATTGATAAAAGGACTTGGTAATTCTTCTCCGGAACTCTAACAATACGCTATTCATTTTATCAACTTGACCAATTTAGCGAATCATTCATGTATAGACCTCCTCTTTTATGAAACGCTTATCTCAGCTGCCTGGACCGAACCCCACTCTAAGAGGAACAAACAAATGTAAAGAAGTAACTACTCTGGAAGATTACCGTTTAAGAAGAGGATGTAGGCCTATGCGTAGGTCAATCTACATGACAATACAAACAACCACTCTAACTTATATACCTTTACAAAGGCATGTTACCATTTTAGAACAGGTTTGAGTAAAATATCTTGATCAACCTAAAGCCGGTCTGTTCAAATGTTTTGTTCGGAAAAACGATCCCTTATACTCTTCCTCTCTATATCACTCTTGTCTTGAGTAACTCCAGCGGTATAGCCACGAATATGAGACTTTTCCTGGGCAAAGATGCTACCATTGTTGAAAAAAAAATGCAAGGCAACAGAAAAACAAGTTTTCTGGCAATGAAGAAAAGCGAGTGCAAGATGAAAAAAATTATTTTTATTATCATTACTATTTTATTACAATATTGTAAAACACATCATCGTCATCATCATCATTTCATGTATAAATGTATATGCCATCTACAGAACTGATCATGAAACGAGGATTAACAAAGTTTTATTGACACGATAGGTTGAACGAGAACACAAATGGAGACAAAGAAAAATAAATTGAATTCTCACGAGGGATAACCAAAACCAGTCTAGATGTTCAACAGACAGACAGAGATAGATAGATAAATAGATAGAAAGAGAGAGAGAGAGAGATGATTGTGATGAATTATGATTTTGTTCTAATCTCTGTCATTCATTTAGCTCTTTCCATTACAAACAAAACAAATCAAATATGCATACAAAATTCAATAAATATGTTATTGATACAGCAACCTCATATCAAAATAGGGTTCTAAGAGATGTATAGATAGAGAAAAAATAAACAAAATTAAGCGGGAGGCAAAAACTAAAACAAAACGAATATTTCAAATTATGAGAAACGAAAGTCGAAAGCATTCAAAGTAAATAAAATTTTTGTTTTTTGAGAATAAAACAATGTTCATCTCAAAATTCATTTCCCAAATAGTCCTATATTTGATTTGCACATTTAAAAGAAAGGGCATTTAGTATATATCATGGCATAATGTTGGTCAGAATATAGTTACAAAATGTGTTGAAAACCCATGTAAAACGAAGGCTTGCCGCCTTAGGCCTATTATTTATGGCTCTGTTGATAATCGGCCAAGCTTTAGCAGACGACAATCATTGACAATGGGGGAATGAATGGAGGTATCGAACGATCTGCGCGTGCGGCGGTGCTTATGCAATTTGTATTGTGAGTGTATTGAAAAGGTAAAACGTGCAGCTTCAGCAAAATAAGACTGCAATTTCCCTCAAAAATAACAGACCTTATTTTTCGTATTGATGAACAAAACTTATATGTTTAGAAAGAAAAAAGTCTGATCTTTCATTTACTAAAAATCACGAAAATGACAATGAGGTGCAATGAGCAATGAAAGTAGAAAGCCCCTCCAAATTTTCCATTACTGGCGATGTAACCCATATCTCTTCCTCACATGGGAGACAATCGCCGTGCGTGGGCTAGCTCTCAAAGGGTTAATGTAGCCCAGCTTCCCCGAATACAGTTGCTGTCAGGGAGTTTTATGATGTGGCAGTGCGGTGCTGGTATCCAATCGTAACCTATAGCTAGAAATTAGACTACAGAACTAAAGGAAACAGAACAAGAAAAGAAATCTAAATTCATAAAAAAGAAATCTATATTTACATCGTGAAAATTGGATAAAAACTATAACGAGTATATATATATACAAAAGGAAAATTAAAAAATTAATGTTAGTAGATATTTACAAACATGATAAAATATTCAAATATATACATGCTATAATGCTATAGAGCCAAGACCAATTTCAAAATGGTTCAATTGACGCACAATATAATGTAGTTACATTGAAAATGATCTTGTCTCTATAACCATTAGTGGGCACCCGTCGAATATGACCCCCCATCCCTCTCTTCTTCTGCTTCTTCCCTAGTTTTCTTAGCTCTCCTACGTAGTTCCCTAATGCTCTTCATTACTTTGCTAGCTTTATATTTAGCATTACTTATTCTAATGAAATCCCTTCTACGCGCTGCTTTAATGGCATGAGCTCCCATTCTGAGATCTAGATGTTTGAAAGTTCTGTAGCGACCATTCTCTGCGCCACAGTTGAACGAAAGAGCTGCAAGGTTGACTGCAGTTCGAACAACACGTGAACCTCTCCACAGGTGTTTAGGACACCTTTTCCAGATGAGAGCATTGAAGCTCTCATTCTGGTTCTGGGTGAGACCTGGGAGGCATCTCTCAAGGAGATCTGGAGAACCAAGTCGCGTGAATATAGGCAACAGATACTTGAGAAACACAGGGTCTAAGTGATTCTCGTTGTAATCCAGTTTGCCTTTGTTTTTGTACTCACACCAGCCATTGTCGGGACAGTACTGGTGACGCACGTCATTATCACTCAGCATTACCGAATGATAAAGAACAGCCAATACCGCCCTGCGCATTTTTTCTACAGCTTTAGCCTTATCTTCTACATTATCTAACGCGTCCCTATTAGCATTCCTACGTATTGCACCCCTATAAAGCCTGCATAATCTTCCTATTGATTGTGTATCTGATGTTCCCCTTAGCCTGTTCTTCCCATGCCCTACCCACTTACCATCATCTAATTTTTGACCTGAATGATTTTTACGGAAGTTGTCCAATGCTTTGTACATCCTTTTCCCTACATGCCCTACACACTCCATCTTATATACCTTATGCCCTTCCCCATAGATCCCTTCTTCACTCTCAAAAGAACTACTATCCCCATCACTAAGCATGAATTTATATCTTAATCTATAATGAGTTTCTGCCCTACGCCACATAGTTTGAGCTGTTACTGCTTCCATCCCCCCACTACTACCCTTGTGACTCCCATGACATACATGCCCTGCCTTCCACTTCTTATACCTATCCCCCTCCTTATCCCATCCCTTCCGAGCACTACATTTATTACATACTTTTGATAAAACCTCCCGATCCAAAACCTCCCCCGTATCTACTGACATCACCACCCCCACCCCATGATTCGACGAGTGCCCTCGCTTATGCCATGTACCATCGAATGACACTGCCACATCAACAATATCGTCAGGTCCGATGGAGGGGTCCTTCTCCCTAGCCTTGTCCCTCAGGCGCTGTGTGGCCTCCTTCATTTGGTCTTTGGCAGCCTGTCAATAAAATAAAAATAAAATAAAAATAAATTAGTGACATGTTTATGCAAAAGCATGAGATATTCTAAAATGATAGCTTCATTCTGATATTTTCCTTTTGACAAATACTTGAATGATGTTCCTTACCGTATCTATAGCCTTTGCTATGGCTTTCAAATGGCGCTGGTAGCTCTTCTGAACTGGTGGCGGGGGGAGTCCAAGTATACTGGTGAGATCAGCAAGTCCCACTCTGCCCAGTCCAACCTCTGATGCTGCCAGTACTGCCCTCCTGTTAATATCGGAACAGGTCCCTGGCCTTTTTCCCTTGAAGATATTTTCAGAGGTCAGGAATGAGTGCTCTGCCTTACAGACAGAACACTGGAGGATGAGGAATGATCGTAACCCATGTCGTTGTGATGTATCCTCTAGTGGAATTAGGTGTCCTGCAATTGCAATCATATAATATAGAAACATGTTAATGATGTATAGTAAAGGAGGGGGTTTTCGACCACTTGAGACAAAATCCTATTTTTGGGACTCTTTACTTCCTATTTATTATCATTTCTTGTTTAAATCATGAAGCAAATATATTATTATTTAAACAAAAAAAGAATCGTAGAAAAAACTCACGAATTGCCATGACAATATTCATTTCAATTTTTACTGTTTTGGAGGCAGTTACCAACATAGCGAGCCAGTTTTCTACCGCATGTGCTAAGTCAATAGGAAGCGCGTGCATGCGCCGCACGTTTCCGCGCTGATTTATAGCACTAGCGGGCGGAGCAGGTATCCCACGCCGGAGCTCCCCGGTCCTCGCCATGTCGAAAACTAGCACTGCATTGATCGGAAATTGGAATCTGAATTAGACAGAGATATCGTGTGTGTGTTGTCCGGCTGCATTGATTTAATACATGCGATGAGATACTTTTAAGCTTGCGACTCGCACAAAATCGGGCTCAAAATCTGAAAAATACTTGAAATAAAGCTCATTTTATGGTAGGCCTACCCATATTTCTTACAGACGCGCATAAGATACTTGATTTTTCAGATTCAAGTAGCGGGACCGCTGATACATCGCTAAAATATGATATTTTAGGATATATTTTCCATTGCAAATGTACGTGGTTCTTCAGTGACTCTGGCATGGTATGGTATGTATTTTAAAGGGATTTTACCATGCCAGAGCTACCAAGTATCATGCATTAGGCATGACATCACGCATTTCAAGGGTCTGAAAATGCTCTTACGCATGACGCGCGCGCTAGATTTTGAAAAAACGCTATACCTTTTACATGTGTTATACCCTCTCACGCGCCAGATCATGAAAATGTCAAGCATTGCCGATCTTTGAACTTAGCGTCTCTGCCATGCATCCAACCAGTCCGCCGAAAACTGGAGATGGTTGATTACCCCCTCCTTTACTCTACACTATATTTCATATTTACTTTCGTGATTATAAGAAATATATAGGGTCTAGATCTATTCCAGAAATGTCTAAATTATTGTACCACAATGAGCTTTCAGTTTCAGGCAGATTAAATTTGAGCTTCACTCGAGCTTGATATATCTAATCAGAGTTTTTTTATAACCATTATCCTTTTAAAGTAAGCAAAAACTAAACAAACATTACACTCATCAAATGAAACACATGTTTTAACATTATTTTACCTCCTGGGCATACATGAGCTTCTTTTAGGGCAGATGTCAGGAGAGGCCCACTGATCAGGTAATAGCCCTCCAAAACATGACGCGTTTCCTTATGGGTGGGACAGGGCTGTATTTTTTGGGCTGCAGGTGCATTGTTTAGTCTCAGCTTCCTTTCTGAAGCTGTCTCTTGTAGAGGAACTGTAGCATCATCTTTTTTGGCTCTTTTGACACCATCCCACCTGGTTCCATTGAAACCTTTCCTCTTTTTGACAAATCCCTGGTGTTTTCGTGGCATTTTGGTGTACAAATGTGATATACAATCCCAATGGTGTAAAAGAAATAGGAAACTATGATCATTTTAAGAGGAAATTAAAGGAATACCTAATACTTGACAGTCAGAGAAGAGGAGTGAATGACATGTTATATGATTGAAATTTTATTCTTCTGTCGGTTCATACTTTTTCATGTTGTATATACTTATGTTTTCGTACGTTATAGAAATTCTACAAATTCATCATTATTTTCCTCTTCTTCCTTCTCCTCTTTTTCTTCTTCTCCTTCTTCTTTTTCTTCTTCTTTTTCTTCTTGTACTTAATATCATTTCTATCATCAGTTTAATGTTGTTATTATTATTATTATCTTTAATAAGTAGTTCTTTTAATTTTCTTATCTGTCTGTAAATATTACTATTTTAACTTATTAATTTTATACATGTCTGTACCCACTGGAAATAAGCTCTCGAGCTTTCGTGGGTTATCCTGTTCAAGCTGACTTTTTTTTGATCTGTTATTATTGTATATTGTTGTATGTTGGAAGCTTGTCGAATAAAAATCAATCAATCAATCAATCAATCATACTGTGACTGCATGCAATGACTCACATGGTATGGTAGGCAGATTATCCAGGTCTTCACCTACAGATGGCAGCAAACACTTACACATTGAGTGATTCTTGGAGAGCAGAAAGTGCCCTTCAAAATGATATCTTCTTACTTTACAAACTAGATTGAAAAATAAAGAAACTGCACCATTTTAGATATTTAGTTCAGATTTTAGTTTTCAATCACCTGAATGTCATTAATTCACACAAGTTAATTGCTATTAATCAACTATATAAGATAACTCTAGTTCAAATTTTTACCCTAAATTGAGGATTTAGCTTAATGAAATACTAAATAAAATGGAATTTAAAGAAAAAAAAAATTGACATTTTTTTTAAATTTCTCAGTGAACTGGTCCCCTTATATAAACCCTATTGGTGGGGTATTCTAAAGTTAAGCCATATCATAATTTCATGTAAAAGTAAGGGTCAGGTCCAGGGTCAGGTTATTGAGCCACTTACCTCAAAATGTGGAATAATTGTTGTGAAAGGGTTAATGCTAGTGTCTAAGTGCTGATCAAATGATATCTTGAATGTTTGATCTAAGTCAACTTCAATCTCTTTGTTCATTGCATGCTGTAGTGTTTTCTGCCTTGGACCAGAGGAAAGATCCGAAGAGGCAGACGACGTCGATGAGACTGACCAAGTACAGCGCTCACAATGCCTTCCACCACTGTGAGCAGTGTCAGCATTACAAGTACCTGACAGCTACCGAGGTAGGTCAACTTCTCATTTGTAGTTTAAAGGGGGGGGGGTAGCATGACGAAGATACATGTCTTTCCCGTGGCCTGACTCAGGGCCAATCGGGTATAATACGACTACAGACAACGCGACCGCAGTTTTTCGCGAACGCTTGCTTGCGCTGACCGATAATCAAGTCCATTCGTTTACGTACAGTTGTCCAAAAGAAGTCGTAGATGGTGTTAACCAGTATTTACCATGCTACATCCCCTATAATGTAGATGTAGACGAACATACATGGACCTTTATTAAAGCCCCTCACTGTAATTTTTTTTAACATCACATTTGTAGTCGTAAAGATAGAGTCTGAAGCAGGGAAAATTTTATGTCAATCTTAAAGAGAATTTCTTTTAAATACACAGATGTATTATAATGTTGCACAATTGAACATTACTTGGAAAATAAAGTGATTAGGTTAAAAAAAAACACCCCTAAAAAAATTAAAGAATGAAAATGACCTTATATATCTACCTGAAAAAAGCAGTTAATACATAGTGTAATTTACAAGTATTAACCGATTGCAAATATCACAAAGTTATACTTTATGTATCTATTTTCCACATTTTTTGCAGGCAAGGGAAACGAAGGCATACAGCGTGCAGCTGAACACCAGGTATTACGGTGAGGTGGAGATGCAGTTTGTGATACCAGCCCAACAGGAGAAACACTTTGTGTTCGTCCAGCAGAGCGGTCAGCTGTCCAGCATGGTCCTACCAACTAAACAAGAACAGGTTTGTACTTCTTCTTCTTCTTCTTCTTCTTCTCCTTCTCCTTCTTCTTCTCCTTCTTCTTCTTCTTCTTTGGTATACTCAACGTCCTGTTATAGGAACCAAACGAGGAGGATGAAGGGGTGTGCACTGTTGCTTATATAGTCCTTGTTGCTTGAGTCTTGGTTGCGGAAAAAGTTGGTTGCTTGTAGTTTGAAGGTGTCTATGTTTGAGGTCCTTTGGATGGCTTTGGTAAATCTCACTTTTCCAAAAGCTAAACCCAGTAGAGCTTTCACTTGTATCAAAAATTTATTTAGGTCATTTAGAAATTAAAGGATTAATTTTGGGATTCAGAAAACTTTCAAACACCAAATTCTACCTTTAATGTTGCCATTCATCTAAAGTGACTGTGGATCTATTCCTTGCTTAATTTCATATTTTCAGGATTAATTAAGGAATTTGAAAGATTTCAAACACTGTATTTGACCTTGAATGTTGCCATGCATACGAAGTGACTGTGGATCTATTCCTTGCTTCCATCTTAAACAGGGTCCTAATGCTGTGAAGACGCCCATCTTCATGCCATCCTTCGGTCGCCAGGAGCAAGCCTTGATTAACCTCTATCACACCATGGAGGGCAGCAAACACGTTCACATCATCGTCTGCAAGCAGAAGGATGCCTTGGCCTACGAGAAGCAGTGGCCGAATCATGTGCTGCTTATACTGCCCTCTGTGGCCAACGAAGCGGGGACAGGTGGGTTGATCAATGTCAGATGATTCAATTTACATGTCAATGTTTTTATACCTCCGTTACGAAGTAGCCAGAGGCATTATGTTTTCGGGTTGTCTGTCCGTCTGGCCATATACATCCGTCCATACGTCCCGTTCTCGTGATCGTGTTATCTCAAGAACCGATTGATGGATTCCTGCCAACTTGGGTCATGAACATGTAGGCCTATGCATCTTGCTGAGCCAATAAACTGCTTAGATTTTGGAGTCATGAGGTCAAAGGTCACAGGGCTCATTATGTATGCAAAAATAGCTTGTGATTGCATTATCATTTGAACCGATGGACGGATTACCATCAAATTCAAAACATGTATGTTTCTTGCAGAGCCAATGAACTTGAGTAGATTTGAGGGTCATGAGGTCAAATGTCATGGGGCTCATTATGTTTGCAAAAATAGCTTGTGATCTCAAGAACCAATAGGATTCCTGCCAAACTCAGGACGTGTATGAATCTTGCAGAGTGAATGCACTGATTAGATTTGAGGGTCATGAGGTCAAAGATCAAAAGGTCATACATGTATATGAAAAAGAATTGCTTTTGTTTTGGTTTGTAAAATCGCTTATACATTTTATTTCAATTCTACTCAAATATCTGGTCGACTTGTAACCTTCTAGGTGCTGCCAAGTACTTCATCAAAGAGCTTGCGTCCAGGAATCTGGAACTGGAGAAGAACCGTCAGAGCAAGCTTGGCCTACAGCCTACAATCTCAAGAACCCTCCAAATTTTTCAAGACTTCCGTGAAATAACTTTCATTTCTAAGTAACCTTTATACATTTAATTTCAACTCTACTCACAATCTGTTCGACCTATAACCTTCCAGGTGCTGCCAAGTACTTCATCAAAGATAGCGTCCAGGAATCTGGAACTGGAGAAGAACCGTCTGAGCAAGCTTGGCCTACAGCCTACAATCTCAAGAACCCTCCAAATTTTTCAAGACTTCCGTGAAATAACTTTCATTTCTAAGTAACCTTTATACATTTAATTTCAACTCTACTCACAATCTGTTCGACCTATAACCTTCCAGGTGCTGCCAAGTATTTCATCAAAGAGCTAGGGTCCAGGAATTCCTGAACTAGAGAAGAACCGTCAGAGCAAGCTTGGCCTACAGCCTACAATCTCAAGAACCCTCCAATTTTTTCAAGACTTCCGTTAAATAACTATCATTTCTAAGTAACCTTTACACATCTAATTTCAACTCAACTCAAATATCTGTTCGGCCTCTCAACTTCCAGGTGCTGCCAAGTACTTCATCAAAGAGCTTGCATCCAGGAATCTGGAACTAGAGAAGAACCGTCAGAGCAAGCTTGGCCTACAGCCCGATGTCGTCTGGCCTTTCATTGCTCTGATGGAGGACAACTGTGTGACCTGGAGGTTGACCTCTGGCAGTGGTGCCGAACATCATGAGTAAGTTCAATTCGTTCGTTCGTGTCTCCTTAGATCAAGATTAATGTAACTTGATCTTCAGAGTAGTTGCTACAACCGGCCGTGTCAGGCACGTTGCCCCGGGGTGCGAGATAGGACTCTTGTAGGGTGCCCCCAGCAATACGATTCGATAAGATCTAGCCATTGTATGAATTTTATAAATTATGTGACCCAACAGATTCAGAATGCATGAGTATTATGTCATATTTCACTGAGGTCATAGGTCGAAGGTCAAATATAATGTCATTACTGGTGACTAGATCTATGCACTATATGGTAAATTTGTACATTGTATGACGATAAGCATGTGATACTTGTTATGTTAAATGGATGGTAATTGGTAACCTCATGCCTTGCTTCTCTTCGAGTCATTCCTTTCGAGTATTCTAGTTAAAGATCTGTCTTGCCCAGAAGTAAATAATCATATCTGATTGATACACGTCTGTAAAAGCCAGATTACACAGAGACCTTCGTCCTTGCCTATCTTAAGTGGTCTTGTACATGTATACAGGTTCAAGTGCATGCTCTGTCTAACAGTAACAATTAGTTTGGTCTTAAAGAGGATGACTGGTTTTTACAAATTCTCAGGAGCGACAAAGTTGTGCCGTTGAAGACCGTCTTGGAGACGATAGAAGGCATCCCAGACATTGAAACGTACACTGCCCTTGGTGTTCAGCAATGGAGCAGCCAAGCGACAGGCAGCGTTTTAACCTCGATGACCTCCACGACCCCGACGAGGCGGTGCCACCTCTTCAACATGATCTTCCTCAACGTGGACAAAGCCAGGAATGTGGACTATGGCTTCAATAGGTCAGTGGAGAGTGAAAGGTCACAGAGAGTGGGAGAGATACATGTAGATAGAGAACGGGAGATGGAGAGAGAAAGGGGATATACACTTACTACTCTCCACCCAGGTGTTAAATGGGTACCCGGTAGGATGCGACCGTCATTGATGGTCGAACAGTTTTTGAGCGTCAAGTAACAGCTAGCTGGAATGCTCCCCAGGGAGTGGAGATTGTGCACATATTGTGTGCGAGCAAGCACTGACTCCAATGACTGGGGTAATAGTATATCTGTAAAGACGTACGAGATGTATTAAGCGCTAAATAAAAGCTGAATATTATTGTTATTATATAGATAGATGGAACGAAAGAAACATACCCACAGGGAGAGGAATATATGGTTGGGGTGGAAAAGAGAGACGGTCAAAGTGTATGGGTAGTATGGGTAGATGAGACTGAGCAGGAGGGAGGGAGGGAGAATGGGAGAAGAGGAGATAGAGAAGGTGGACAGATGCCAGAGAAAGAGTACAGAGGTAGAGAGAGATACTGAGAGTTGGATATGATACATGTAGGTTGTAATATATTTGCAAAGAAGATATTCCGCTGGTCAACCGTCTTCCAATGACACGACAATAATTAGAATATTTAATGTTATCCTCCAGATTTTTCAACGAGGATATCGACTTCAACTTGAAGCTCGCATCAGAAGGCCACACCTTGGTGCGCCTGGACTACCTCTCCGTCATGGTCAAGTCCATCGAGGCTAACAACCTCGCCCATTTTACCCCCAAGCCCCACCCGATGGCCACGCCCCACAAGAAGCCCCCTTCCCACCACACCATCAACCCTTCCAGCTATGTCCGCGCCCCTGATTCGGAGGAGCTGATCCCCCTGGCGGCCCCGCCCCAGTTCCTGATGGAGCGCTTTCTGGAGAGAATGAGCGAGAAGCGCATCTTTCCATCAGCGGTGGATAATGCGGATAATCCAGTGCTGGCAGTCGATTGCTATTTCAACCTAGGCCCTCGGATAGCAGGTAAGTTGATCTCAAGCGCATTGAATTCTGACATTTTCGATTTCACAGATGGTCACACTAATGTTAATTGGATCTAGATACAGTTATTTTAAGAACTCAAGGTTCCAAATACATTGAATGCTTTATGATATGCATGCAATGTAGTTGGTTCGATGGAGAAAATCAAGGTAGAAAAGAAAAGCAACCTTTCTAGATGGGTGGATTTTGAACTTTAATGCGGCAAGGAAAAACTTAATGATAAGAATTAGAAATGTGGATTAGAGATTGGATCTAAACAATCCTATCCTGGGACCAGTTCGGAGGCCATCAGAATTTGTAGTTTTTTGTAATCTGGAAGAACTACACAACACAGAACGAATATCGCAAAAGAGTTATGATGTATTGGACGTGCAGCATATGCAACAACGGTTAGGGATTTTCTCTTGAATATGCTTTATACTAGATTTAAAGATAATCTTGAGTTCTGGTAAAAATAAGAAAAAGGAATTCTCACAGAATCAAACAAAACTTACACTGTATGTTCAAGAATACAAATAAATGTCATTTGCCAAACAATTTTGGTAAAAATGTATACTGGCTGAGTATAATGAGCATAGAAAGATAAGGAAATCAAGGTTGGTAGCCCCGGCACCATTTGTGTAATCCCATATACATCTTTCTGTGTACAGTGCTTGTTACTTTACCAAGATTGGGCCAAATTTATTATGATTTTGATGACTCCAGAACCTTGCAGTACACACCAATACTAACATGTAACGTAATCACATTTTTCTGACTTTTTTTTCACAATGCAATCGCGTGACCAGAACTCAACTTTATCTTTAAAGGTGAAATTCAAAGAAAATCCCAAATATGTCAACTAATGTATCACTAGAAACTGGTAAGCTAACAGATGGCCATCGTACAAGTTATAGGTCAACTACATATCGGGTGATTTATACAAATACAAATACAACTTCCTCCATAGCAGCTGGGATATACGAGAGATTCGCCGGAAAAATAACGATGTTTTAATGACGTCACTATATGGACCAACACTGCCCAAGCAGACGACATCCCATAGAGAATGAACATAATAGCAAAGCTTTTATTTGTCAAATTATAATGAGTTTAGTTTATATAAATGTAATGGCATGTCAAACCATTCAAAAGGGGATATGACCCGATTCTGGTAACTAAAATCTTTTTCTTGTAAATACACAGGATAGGGGTTAATTAACAATCAAAGAAACCAGACTTTCAAATTGAAAAGCCCACGAAATGATATTAAGGACGGCACTCGTTCTCTCCTGAAACGCCGAACATACCCCGGTGTGTGCAGCTGAATATACAATGGCGTCTTATTTTGTTTACAAGCGACAGATTCCTTTATTTTCATATCGCTACATTTGTCATCAAAATAAAACCATGTGCAGGGCTTAGAGTGAGGCAATAGATTATACATTTAGCCTGACGGTAGTAAAGTAAGAGAAAGAACTCAAGAGAAGATGAAAACACAGGCACTGAAAATGTGTGAGATGTCATGGGGCATCGTCTGCTTGTGCAAGTCATGTCCATACTGTGATCTCACACATCTCAGCAGCGTTCGGATAGCTCTTCAGGTGCTATGCCGGGGCTGTATTTAAGCGTTTTGTAATTTATAATAATCGTTACTTTGAATGTTACCAAGCATTGAATTTTGATAACCTTGTCGAATCAAAGTTTCAACTTTGCAATAATGAAAATAAAGTTCGTTTTTAAAATCAATGAATATCTACTTTAATATTGTCATGTATAATGTTGCTTGTAATTTTTCCAGTGCACTTTGCATCGTCCAGTCAGCAGCCATCCCAAGACTTGATTGAGAATACCCGCTTCAGTGGCCTTCTTCTCTTCATGTGCCATTCAACAATGGAACGGGAGTTCCTCAAGAATTTCAAGTTTATCAATGGTGAGTTCACACTTTTGAATCAGTTGAAGCCTTTTAAGAATTTCAAGCATTCAAGTTTATCAAAGGGGAGTTCTCACTCATCTGGATATATTCGCTTTAAGTTGTACTTGATTCATTGTATCGGTATACTCACAACCTCTATTAAAGAGCAGGTTGAGTTCTGAAAAGAGATGGACGATAATTTGTGAGCATTATCATTGTTTTTAAGCAAGTGGGGAAATATATCAGATAGAAAATGTTCCCTGAAAAGCATGGCTCTTCAAATGCCTTAATATTCTAAATATGGCATGTAACAACATGAAAATCAGGACAGATTTTTATGCCACATGTTCGTTTAATCCAATATACATATTTCTGTGTACAGTGCTTGTAACTTTACCATGCAAGACTGGGCTAAATTTCCTATCATTTTGATGATTCTAGAACCTTGCAGTACACACCAATACCTATATGCTAGATCAGGCCTTCTCAACTAGTTTATTAGAAGTGCCAAAACGAAAAGAATTTGTAGTTGAAGTGCCACCCTGTATGGTTGACTGTTCTGCGAGGGAGCGTAGCAACTGAGCCGAAAATGGGTGGGGTCCAGGGGTGAAGCCCTAACGGGGGTAGCAGGGGTCGGTGCCCCCTGAAGATGGTGGAATTAGGGCTTTCAAAAGGCCCAAATGGGGCATTTCTAACACTATTTCATTCCACAATATAATCAATCATATTAATTTTATATTGATGTGAAAAAACAGTACAATTCCTGGGTACAATTACACTGGAGGTATATTTATATGTAGTTTTTTGTGTGCAATAAACATGGGAAATGTCAAAACAAAGTGAAAATCAAATAGACAAAAACAAGATGTTTCCAGAGATTGGCAATGTTAAAGTTGGTATCCCATCGTAAGCTTATTTGTTGTACAGACCTTATAAATTAGAATCGTATAAAATGGTAAAAAACGATAAATTCCCCTTTCTCACTGTTTGTTAAGCAGGCATTTTGGGCTCAAATTCAACTGCAACTTTTTGATTTAGCTGAGTATTTAATTCTAAAATATATATTTTCTTTCTTTCTGTTTTTTGTTTTGTTGTTGCAACAGTCGCGCGCCACTCCCACTGACCGCAAGCGCCACAAGTGGCGCGCGCGCCGCCAGTTGAGAAGGCCTGTGCTAGATGATCAACCTTTTCTGATCGATTCCACACTGTTTCTTTCACAATGCAATCGATCTCCAGACCCAGGTCGAAATTCCCATAGAAACCAGTAGAAACCAGTAAAGACATTCTAATGGTTTCTACTTGTTTTCCAGAAACCAGTAGAATCTAATGGTTTCAGGAGGAACTTTGAAGTAAAACCAGTAGAAACCTTTACAAACCAGTAGAGTCTAATGGTTTGAAGACCAGTAGAAACCAATAGAAACCGGTAGGATCTAATGGTTTAAACATGGGCGTAAATATACTAAGTCAAACAAGTAGAAATCTTTACAAAACAGGAGAGTCTAATGGTTTGAAGACCAGTAGAAACCAGTAGAAATTTGTACTGGTTTTCTCTACTGGTCTCTATGGGAATTTTGACCTTTGGAACTCAAGTTTATCTTTAACTAGACTGATTATGCGGGATGTATAATGTACATATGTTAGTCATTTGTATGACTTACATGATGAGTGCTTAAATGCTATAATAGTAGTGACACTATTTCTTTTCCCCAGGTGCTCGGCTATGCCTGATCAGTTCAGATCGGAACTCGCTGCGGCGTCAGGTTGTCCAACTAGACCTGGAGGAGCAGTGGAGATTCAGACTACGTGATGAGTTTCAGACGGCCAACGTAGCCGCCGAGCAACCGCTATTCATGCTGACGGGACGGCACGAGGAGGAGCGGTCGTAAGACACAAGGAGAGACGCTCGTAAGACACGAGGAGAAACGCTCATAAGACACAAGGAGGAGCAACCATACTAAAGCCGGGGTAATAACTTTGGAGGACCAGGAGCGTCAAGTCTTACAGACAGATGAACTTTCACCTGCCATGCTGCAAGCTTGTTCAGATCTATTGCCGTAGCTTTCGCTGTTGCTGATGCAGTCCTACGATGTAGTAGAGAGTACTGTAGAATAGGATCTTGAACCGAAGAAAGAGTTTTATGTCTGAAGTCTCTGTTTTTTGGTCACCTTTGTAGTGAGTGAAGGGATCAGCATTGTTTTGTAGTGGCTCTCATGTATAACCTGTGTTTGGACACTGCAGAGATAAAATTTGTAATTTATTTGTATGAAAGGCTGAGTGATTTGTCCCAAAAAAATTATTACATTTTTGCACAAAATTGCTTTATTTAATATTCTTGTATTATTCCATGGCATGATCATTTTACTATATATAATATTCAAATTTCACAAAAACTATAGACCAAGCATCTTGAAAACCTTGAGAAAATTTGCTCTGCATGAGCATAACATAGGAATGTGAATAAAAAACTAGAAATTAGTGAGAAAGTTGTTGAATGAAATAATTCTCTAAACTTTTTCTTAGTACCGGTAAACTTTTTTCACTTGATATAGAATTTCTGACCTTATATCATCCTTTTTTGTTGTTGTTGGAACTACTAGCAGCTATCTAACATAGTATTTTACTAATATATCAGTGATGTGTTCGCACTGAAAACCAGAATTGTACAGAGTACGTTTTAGTTTGTTAAGGATAACCATTTTTATAAGAAAGTTATCATATGCAGTCTCACTGTGAACAGAGCATGAAATGTTCTCTAATGACAATAAATATAACAGGCAATTATTCTTTGCCTCTTATTTTTTACTATTTTCTCTTCGATATTGATGGTGAATACATGTTTTGTGTTCGCATTTGCATATGAAACGATTTGTAAATACTTAGATTATTGCTTGTTCATTTCTTCCTTTGCATGTATTTAACAGTTAAGTATACATTTTTACCTCATTTTTTCTCTGTTTTCCTTTACTTTACGGAGGGAGTTTTTTGTTATAGTGGAGTATGCCCAAAGCGTAGGACCACATTTGATTTAAGTGTTTTACATTCAAAATTTATTAGGAGTATGTAAACACACCAAGAGGGGGGAAAGAGAAAAATTTGATTTAGGGTCTTTATTCTGAAGTGTGATACCTTACTGATGTAAATCTGTATTTTGAGGAAACCAGTGGACCAAAAACATTCATTATTATACCGAGGACTATACGCGGGTAGAAATATACTAATAGGGTTCTAACTGTAGATGTAATAAGACGCTTAAATGGAAAAGAGTGTATGCTTGGAACTGTTAGACAAATTAAATTTTACGACATTTGTTCTCTTCCAACGTCCTTTGCATTGCAACAACATTAGCCAACATTGATTAATCTTGTTACATGTCAGTTTTATAACAAGTAAAGTTAATTTTTCATACACCCGTTGATAGTTCAGATATGACGATAACAAAAACCCTGCGTTTCTTTAACGTGTAAATGAATTGGAAAAGCCTGCAACAAAGGTCCTATGTGTATTCACGTAGCTCTGTGTTATGTGAAAGGTTTTACATTTTATGTAATTAAAAGATGCAGCTTTTTACCACCACACTTCTTAACAAGGCTTAAAGAAACAGTTTTTATGAAACAAAATTTTGTGTATATCGCTCAAGAAAATTTCTCAAATTGCCAAACTTGCTGTGATACACTTATTTTGAAGCATAAAAACCCTAAAGCCTTTCACAAATCTTGACTACTCATATCATGAAATTTGCAAAAGTTTCATGTTTTGCAAGCAATCGTTTTGCTTGAAACGTAAATTTCACACCCATAAAAATAGTGTCCCTGTTGAGTTCCCTACAATTGCCAAGCGACGTGTGTAAACAGGTTTCCAAGTTTCTTACTGGTGCTAGTTTGAAGTAAGTCAAGTTCATTACCACAGCTGCAAAGACATTCTACCTCTTAAATTTGCCAATGTTTTGGACTGAGTCCTTTGGCTTTTAAATGGAAATTTGAATTCTGATCACTATGGATTTTTATGTCCCTGTTTTTTAAATTCAATGAAAAGTATCCATGAAATGTTTGTGCAAAAGGCAGACCCGCAAGAGATAATGAATTTTTAAATGTCTAATTGATATCGGGTAGCACGTGTATTCCTCAAATTGACTCCACACGGCCAAGTTTTATTGACTTTTTCCTCAACATTTGGTAGCAAAGAATGATAAGATGTACATGTATATTTAGCATGAATTTTAATGACATACAAGTTTTAAACGTCAGTGTGGCAATTCAAATGTAAATATCCAAATAAATTTTTTGATGGCGGAGCTGAAAATGTTTTGAAATTTAATGGAATTGAAGGATGATGGCACACAGTTGAAAGTGAAAATACATGCATCATTGTCCTCCATTAAGTTGAAATAATTTTTCTGATCTCTTTTCATGGAATGATTGTAACCGTATGATTTATTCTTGATAGATAAGGTTCATATCCTCTCAGAACTTTACTGATCAATAATTGATCCGTAACGATTGATCCTTAAAGATTGATCCGTCCAGATTAATCCTTAAAGATTGATCAATAATGTTTCTAGAAGATCCATGTATGAATTTTATCTATCAAGAATCAATCATTATTATTGTCATGAATCATATCATGAAAAGAGGTAAGAACAAAAATGTATTCCATCTTCATGGGCCACGGTGCTTATTATTCATGATAATTAATACGATATGCTTACTTATACATGACTGTACCCACTATACTATACATGTTGTTCAGCCAGACATTGTCTTGGCCGAACTTTTTCTGGGAATTAACCTTAACAGTAGCTATACATATTAGCTGTGAATTTTTATTAACAAATTTGCAAAGTTAATGAATTTTAAAATGAAATTGTGTGCTAATAATGATAGGGATTGTACATGGGTTTTTTAAAGGATTTGTACACCAAAATCCACTCTTTTCAGCCTTTTCACTATAACAATGCTCAAATTCAAGTGAATATATTTAGACTGTACCTGTAGAACCGTGGCATGCTTCTTGCTATGGTTATGTATTTAAAGAATCAATTGATTTTTTAATAAACAAAAGTACATCTACTGATTTTATGGTGATATATATGAATGATTGCATTTACATTGCACCTGTAATGTAATTTGATAGACTTTTGAATATTCTGATTTTCTACCGTTGATTGCGATCTCATGTGAATTCCCTTTTAATATGAAACCTGATATAATGGAATGCACAAAAGACCGGTTTACTAACGTATACACATGTATGGATATTTCTTTCCTGGGCATCTAGGGGTATTCCATTAACCCGTTTTTAATGAATGAACTGCAATTTTTTTATCCAGTCTGCATACATAATTTGTTGCTATGCCGGGCAAGTCTCACTCAAGCCTTCAGGAGGTCAAGAACAAAGTTTGTTTAAATAGTATGCATACAATTTGAATATGTTAGTAAACTGGTTTATATACCTCTCTTTAGTATGTTAAATAAATCTAGTCATCTGATTGGTCATAATGCCCGCCTTGGGGTCATGACAGGATGAAACATCCCCTTGAGCCTATAGAAACAGCTATGCCTCTCATAGCAGTCAATATATCTATACTATTGATGCATATCATCTGCTCGCATCTGGAAGGGCATAACGTCACTGTAATACTGGTTAATTCCCCTCTTACTCTCAAGAGACAATATTCAATAACGATGGCATAACTTTCACATAATTCTGTCGTTTTTTAACTTCATGCATTTTACGATCTGGTTCAAATGACTTTTATATCATTTTTGTCAAACTATTGTAACATTCTGTTTGCTTATTTGATTCACTCAGACTGTTGCTTGCATGTTACTATATCTCAACAAAAAAATTGCTTTCCTTCAAAGCTCCTTGATATAAAAGTGATATTTCCCTTTAATGTCAATTATTGTGTGCTTCAGACAAACTATCAGTATTACCATTACACCCATTTTTGTTGGTGACCTCTGTGTACATATTTTGTTTGTATATATTTTAGCTTCATTTTTAACTGTTTCTTTCCATTGTGGTAGTCGTGTGTATTTTTTTCTTGCCATTTTCATGTAAGTGTGCATTCTTTCATTCTTTTTCATTTCGTCTCTGTCTTTTTAAAATGTATAGATCTTATGAACATGTGAAATGGTTTGAATTCCTTTTAAAGGGTTGAACTTGACATGGTCGCAAGTACTTTTATTATATGCATGTGTCTTTTAATATATTAACATGATCATTTTTACGTCAGAGGCTATTTGTAATTTGTAATGCGCGTGGCCCACGGTATCATTTTGTTGACATTGACTGTTGCCGACGAGAATAGCAGTTGTGTTGATGCACCATGTACTTTTGAAAGGGAAAATCGAAGACATTGTATGTATTATAAGGAGTGAATGCAAAATACACAATGCAAACATTGCTTTGATTAACTGATGCATGCACTAATTCCTCTCATATGGTTAAGTATTGAAGATAACAATGCAATATAAGTCTCTTGTGCCATGGCAAGCATTGGCATAATTTTTCACAGACTCTTTTAAAGATAAAGTTGAGTTCTGGGAATGTGATTGGATTGCGAAAGACACGTACTGCACTGTCTGGAAGTAATCGGGGAAAGGTTACCCCTGAAATTTTAGAATGACCGGATTACAACATAAAGAAATTGACACAGTCTTGTTGTAGATCATATTGACTGCACACGGAAATGTGTATATGGGACTACACACACAATTGTTTGGTCCAATCTTTTGAACTTTTTACTTCTCCTATTTTAAATATATGAATAGAAATCCTTCTACAATAAAATTCTCCCAAACTGACATACAAATACAGTCAAACCTGTCTACAGCGACTGCCCAAGGGAAACACAAAAAGTGGTCTTTGTAGACAGGTTCCTTTAGTACATGTTTCAATAAGAAACCATTTTAATGGAAAACAAAAAATGTGGTCTTTGTAGAGAGTCACTAATTTAAAAGCAGGTTTGACTAATAAGAAAGCTCATAAATCGTTTTCTTTTCCATCTTTACCAGAACTCAACTCTCTTTTTAAATCGTTTATGACCTCCATTTAATGTACATGTTTTGGGCGAGTGACCAAAACTATGAAATTGTAAGTTCAATCATGTTGCAAGCCATAAACTTCAGTCATATTATGGATTTGTGAATGCTTGAGATCATGTATTGTGGTGTTTTGTTGATTAACAAATGAATCTTGTTGAATTAAACAATGTAATAATATTTCATTAATCATTTACCATTCAAATGTCATTCCTTCGACGACATTTTGTCTAGAAAAAGAGGAGAAAAGTTACGAATATTACAGAGAGGAAGAGAAGGAGAAAAAGAAGGGAGAGAAGAAAGAGAAACGAAAGAGAGAGAGAATTGAAAATAAGAAATGTTAGTAAAAAGAGTAGGGCTGTGGCTGAAAGAAAAGAGAGAGAGAGAGAGGGGGGAGGGGGAGGAGAGGGATGAAGGGAGAGGGATAACGTGAAAGAGAGTGGGTTCTCAAACCTTTTCTTTGGCGGTCCAAATGTGATTTCCATGTAAGCTAAACGGTCCAAAACATGGGAAGCCATTCGCCCAAAAATTCTTACGGCCAATCGTATACTTTTAAATAAGTAGAACAATGTTCAATGATTGCTGGAAAGCCGGACCAATATTCGATGGGACTTTACACACATAATTGAGTTTCAAACGCACTTCTGGTCAAGAATGGTAATCTGGACAAAAAACTGAGGATTTAACTCTTCACTGTATAGAGACTTTTGCTATTCATGGTCACCTATCTTTTATAATAATAATAATAATAATAATAATAACTATTTTTATATGGCGCTTTTCAGGAGGGCCCTATCAAAGCGCTTTACAGATATATATTATTACCCCAGTCATCGGATTCAGGCTTTACCCGCACACAATGTATGCACATTCTCCACTCCCTGGGGAGCATTCCAGCCAGGCGTCATTTTTACAAGCGCACACTTGCTAATCTAAGCACATTAGCTTTCGCATCCTACTGGGTACCCATTTAACAATAAATAAATAAATAAATAAATAAATAAATTGTGTGAATAATCAAAGGTCCACAGGAGAGGACGAAAACTTGCCTACATAAAACTCACTCTCCTCTCCTGAGAACAATCTTATCCAACAAAAGATTGTCTTGCGGACCCTCCTATATTTCTACGGATGCGTTCCAAGGGGCAAAGCCTTAGCTGGAGGTCTAGTTCTGGAATTTTCCACAATTTAAACAATTATAAAGGATTAGAGTTGCCATGTATTCGATACCGTATCTAAGATGGCCGCCAAAATGATCGTCCGTCTCGTATGAATTAATGACCGGAGTGAATTACTATTTACAGTAAAAACTTTAGTTATTGATAGGAATTAAATCATGTTTAAGAGATTAGGACATTCATTGGTTATGGTTTGAATAATTACCAAGGATAAGACCCGCCTTATATTAGGTACCGTACCTAAGATGGCCTGTGATATTTGGCAGTTTTAACCTTCGATTTATTTACCACATGCTATAATGTTGTATAATTGGCCTTTAAATTGTATGCTCTTTCAAATTTGACACACGATCGTCAACACTATTTCCCCTCCTATTATCCAGGTTCTTTTCGATACTATCATCCACATTATCGTCCACACTTTTATCCACGCTACTATCCACACTCTCATCCACACTATTATCAACACTGCTATCCACGCTATATTATTCGCACTCTTATCCACACTCTTATCCACACTCTCATCCACACTCGTGTCCATACTTTTATCCACACTATTATCAACACTGCTATCCACGCTATATTATTCACACTCTTATCCACAGTATCATCCACACTATTATCAACACCCTGTTGTATAAAACGTACACAAATTATTATGAAAGGATTTTTTTCTTTCTTCAAAAGCAAAGAAAATATTTATTATCTTTTCTAATCAAAATTGCTTTTTGTCTCAATTTCCCCCCTTAAACTAAGGTTGTAGATAGATTGAAGATAACACTAGTGTGTATTAATAAAAATCAATTATTAAATAGCTCTAAATTCCAAATCTAGACTGCAGAGTCTAAATTTCCTGTAACATTAAACTATATATGAAATATCAGGCAGTCTACAGACAAAAGCCCCCTTTCCCAACTCCAAGCAAAATGGACTACAACGATGAACAGATCTCGGTATCATGGACTGGTCACTTTCTTTTTCAACCTCGACTTCCAGTTAAAACAGATTTTCAATTTCTTCCTCTGAAGCTTTTAAAAGTGCTCCATTCAAAGTTCAAGAATTCTGCCTTAAAGTATGAGGTTACTGGTTTTATACGATTTTATCAAATACTGTTATAGAGAAAGTAACATTTACAAGGATACTTTCAAGATTTCCAGTCTTTTAAAGATAATTTAAGAATCTTGCAGAAGAAACTGAGACAAGGAACTAGTTACAGTTGGAGGATTAAACAAATATCACAATCCATACTTAGTTCTATATTTTAGGCCTGCATCTTCGAGAAATAACATGTTCAGTGTTGTTGTTGATCTAAAAAGCAATGATTCTGTCATAGAGGTTATTATTTCCAAACTGACATTCCATAGATAACTCTGTTCATGGGAATAAATCTTAAAATATAAAAATTGGACATTTCAAAGTAGCAATTCATCTGAGTAGCAGTGAACCAATTTGGTGGCCTATTTGGGACTCTTCCCAGAGGAACTGCTAGCATGACTATGCGTCGATAACTATCTGTTGAACCCTGACGTGTCTATCGTAGCATCAAATGCAAAACATTGTAATTGCAGTGGAAACAGAATGTTCCAGCAGGAAACATATCAACTCGAACTTGTGTTGTCCTTGAAACAAATTGATTATTTATTTTATATTGAAAAACTAATGTATCAAGAAAAACACATTTTCATCAACTGCATGACATTACATGACAATGTGTATTACCCTTAAATTAACAACCACGTATAACAGCAGTCCTTACCACAATTATTACTCTTTTAGTCTCAACTAACGTTCCTCGACTAGACAGTGGTAACTCTCAGCTGCAATAGTTTTAACAACTGGCTGTCACTTGAATAGCAGTACTAGCATTTTGTCATTTAAAATGTTCTTATTGTATCCTTTAAATGAATTTGCTATTGCTCATAATTTACATGAATTTCTTTCATTAAAAAATAATCATAATGGTTAAACATTAAAGCTTGAAATAATTATTTAATTTTGTTCATGCGAGAACTGTTTGCTTTGTCATTTGAGAAAATAAGGGGGAGGCGAAGAATTGATAGATGAGATTGTACTCTTGCGCATTGTAGTAATCATGAAAACGTGATAAAGGGCAATGATGTGATTCAATGATTGTGTTTTTTTAAATTTGGATATCCAAATAAACAAGCAATATACACTTTTAGTCATAAGCAAGTGTTATTATTACTTATTTTTTAAGCTTTTAAACAAAAAAATATTTATTTTTTAAATTTATTTATCTATTAAAAACACACACATACAAAACGGGATGGGGGCATGTAAGAACAAAACAATCACTTTGAAAGGGAATAAAAGTAAAGAGTTTTGATGGGAGTGTGTTTGTGCGTTGAGCGAGAGAGACAGAGAGACAGAGAGAGTAAATGAAAGGAATTAGGAAACATTTTTGTAATCGATATTGGTAATACAATATAGAAAAGGGGCATTGATAAGAAGCCAACAGGGGCAATCATTAGAAGTACAAGAAGCATATACAAAATTTTAAAAAATTGGGCACATTCTAGAGAAAAAAATTCACCTTGTATAAATGAAAAAACACAGGTATTTTATCAAATGTAAACAAATTACAATTAAAACAAAAGGGGGGTGGCAATTTTAAGTTTTAAGTATTTGTACTTGCAAAACATGGGACATTTTGCCCCACCCCCGCACCGCCTCTGTTATTGGTCCCACCTGATTTAACTTTGATGATACTAAATACAATAAAACAAATTAACAGAGATTTGCTCAAAGACCCGCCCCCCCCCCCACTGGTCAAGGCCCCATCCCCCCCAAAAAAAAATCATTGATTTTGAAGAGGATTCTCTATTTTACTATAATTAAAACGAAGTTAGTTGTCATTTATGATTTTTCAAGCAAGTAAATGCTGAAAATATATCTGATCAATAGTGTGATAAAAAGGGATAACATTGATCTTGAAATTGATATGGACCATATTCTAGCTTAAAATTGAGTTTAAGGGTTTTTGATGGAATAGGGCCGTAAATCGATCAATTTATTTTAGGCTCTTAAATTTGATACGATCAATTTTAAGATCCATTTTAAAGCTCAATGAAACACATCCCAGCACTCGTTTTGGGTGTAGGACTAGAACTTGGAGTTGGGTTTGAAGTTGGAGTCAGAGTTGGATCTGGATCTTAACATAACCTCTGGTTGTAGTTTTTGTAACACCCGTAGTAAGTCGCTGTAGCGAAGCATAATGCAGCTTCCCTGTCGCAATCGCACAGGTCTCGCGGACACCATGCGTTAGAGTCTTTAAACAAAAATGGGAGGGGGGAGGAGGAAGAAAGAAAGAACGAGACTATTAGTAAAATCTAATCGATCGAGCAATCAATCGGAGGTCTTTTCTAATAGTTTTCTTTATTTTCAAATGTATTGTTTGACTTTAAAACGGATGATATATCAAAACCAAACCAAAAAGCTTATTTGCAAGTTTGACGGTGACCCCTTTCCCCTGATGTCAGTGCCCTTCAATGACTGCTCCCCCGAATGCCGGTTGAGAGGAGTAAAAAACAACAACAACATTAGAGTCAGAAGTGGGTTTACTAATAAACTACTTACAATAAGTTCGGTAAAATTGTACCCTTATATTGACGAAAAATAGGGACAGGCATGTTTGATCGGTACAACGATCCAAAAACTATGTAATTATGAACCCGATATCGGGAATCATTGGGTAATACCTTGCTCAAATTAAGTAAAATTTACCAACAAATTGGGTATTTTGTTACCCGATATCCACTTTTGATGTTTTATTATATAATTTTTGTTTAGAGTGTATGCTTTGATATGCAGTTATCGACCTTTAACTTTTAATGATAGCTGTTCTAATGTAGGTTTTGAGTAAGAAATATCTATCTTCCATTTCGTGGTAGCCAGAAGGGCGATAACTTATACATCTTTTTATAGAGTTAACGTCTTTCTTGCTCTACTGTAAGCCGGTAAATAGTACTCACTGCAACTTATTCGAGGGCGATACGAA